TTTTGCCTAATTTAAGCATCCCGCTGGTGGTAAGGAGTTAAATTGGAGTTTTCATGACATAAATGAAAATGACAAAACAGAAAGTACTTAATTAACTTTGTATTTTTGCATTTTTTGTGTGTTTGCTATACCAGTATATAAGGGCTCTTCTGTCCTTTCCCGGTCAGGTATTGATAGAGAAAGTAGCCAATCACCACCAGCAAACAAATGCACACAGTTGGAACAACAATACCCACAACCACCATCAGCAGCTTGGCCATCAAAGGGTCTGGAGAGGCACAAACAGCATCACAAAAATACAAACATGAGTCAAAACGGTCCGCACACGGGATATTATCTGAAGCTACATCAGAATTTATGGTGTGAAACAGAAAGTGCACTTTTATCAAGATGTAAACAGTACAGTCTCTCAAACAAACATAATAGACATCACACATCAACCTGTCCTTTACTTCTGTAACAGGTTCCATCACATTCCTTTCTACCTGTCAAACAGGGAGGAAATATTCAGACACACACAGACACTGAATGTTGCTGTACCTGGAGGAGTGGTTATGCAGTGCCATTCTGAGGGCTGGCAGTGGATGGGCATGGAGAGGAATCTGGTCTTGGCAGAGAAGCAATACTCCGTGTCATAATCCATCAGACGATATTTGTAGTGACTGGAGTCGAATGGGAAATTGCTCTACGAACATACGCACACAGATTAGTCAGTGCTATAGAAGAGCTTTAGCTGTGCTTGATGTTACAGCCATACCTGTGCCATGAGGTTGCGGCAGACTGGGACCTTTGTTTGTTTTTTACTCACCATCCTGCCGCGACGGATGTTGTGGACAGAGAGGTTGTAAGTCATCTGAGCGTATAGAGTTGCCATGGAAACTGTTGGAGTTTGATTGTTAAGCTGATATCTCATTGGTCCCTTCACCGTAATGATGGCATTGTTTCCCTCCATGTCCACGGAAACCAGTGGAGGGCCAAATATAGCTAGAAATATAGAACAAATATTTGGTGTTGTAAGATTTGATATATTTGAGGCGGATATTTAGATTTAGAGTCCCTACAAAGTTCAAGTTGAACCAAAAGATGTATTGTCTCGATCTTTAAAAGCAAATATGTCAGCCTTTTTTTCAGCCTTCCTTGGAATGTCTTGTTTTTTTAGACAGTATAGCTTCAACTTACTGTCTGACTTTGGGTCAAATCTCCTCCACGTCGTGGCCCATTTTGAGGATGCTCTCCTGATCTTGGCTTGAACCCTGGCATAGTATCCTTGTTCCAGATCCCACGTCTCATTGCTCAGGTCACACCAGTGGCGCCCAACTTCTCTACAGTGCCACACTGACCTCCAGTGCACCCGTCTTCCTTTGCTGTCCTCGACACTGTCCCCATAGCTGGAAAAGACCAAAGAAGACCATGCAGGTCAGAGCAGAATAGAGGGCGTAAGCTTTAAAAAACAAACAAACAAAAAAACACTCCTATCAATTTTCAATTCCCTCAAGCAAGAAACATGATCACACATGGCTGTTTTTCTTTTGTTCCTGCACCCATCTTGTTTTGCTGCTTCTTTTTTGTTTGTAAATCGTGAGAGACTTGATGCAAGCTTCCCTTAAGCTTTCACCAAGTTGTCTACACAAAGTTTCATTAAGATTAATGCAACAAAAGGGAAAAAAAGTAACTTGAAACCTGTAGACCAACATTCTCACTTTAAACATTAAGAACTTTACTTACATGGCATACTGCACTGTGTAGAGTGTGTCATTCTTTGTGCCATTTCCTGGAGACCACTGCAGCAAATTCCTCAGATTGACTGAAGTGAAGAAGACATTGGTGGGCCTGGGAGGAGAGCATGAGACTGAGGAGAAAAGAGAATGAAAGTTTGAGAAACATAAATGAAAGACATTTGATTTGAACTAATTTCTATCATTAAAATGTTCAACATTTTCTATTTATGTGGTACAACATCAAGTGTGGAGAAAATGTTATCCCTGTTTTACTATCTCCCAGGGTGGTTGACTCATTCTTATACTTGTTTTTATGGTACTACAATGGTACTTTCCATCACCTCACATTGTTTTTAAAAAGGCCCTTTGTCTTTTAGCCCCAGTTGCTGTTTTTCAATGCTTTACTCATTGTTGCCTGTGTTTCCACTTTCCACCAAGGTCAAAAGACCCTGGAAGGTTGTGCAAAGTGTTCTGTTGACGTCTGAAAGACTTTTTCTTTTTTTTAAGATTTATTTTTTGGGTCATCTGTGCCTTCATTGGAGAGACAGGACAGTGAATAGAGCCGGAAATAGGGGCGATAGCGAGTGGTAAATGACATATGGGAAAGAAGCCACAGGTTGGATTTGCCTCTCGCCTCGAGGATTGCAGCCTCTGCACATGGGGCCCACAAACCAACTACTGGCGACCAGTGAAAAAGTTTCTAATAGCTTTGAGTTAGTGCTACAAGTCCCACCCCAAAGACCCTGTAAGAAAGTAACACCCTCTAGCATAGTGGAAACTAAGTCCCAGGACTTAAAAAAACATGGTCCCTGCAGAGGTAAACACAGCTATAGCTGCAATATGATTCAATCTGCTGTCATTAAAACACCACAAGCCAAAACAAAGTTATAAATTAAAAAACATTTCAGCTCTCTTTACATTTCCTCGTGATTCTATTGATGAAAGTTAGTTTGATCATGAGAATCAGCTTTAGAGATTACTGCAACTTTGATCTACCTGTCTTGAACTTAAAGTAGAGCTCTATTAATTTCTAGGCCATATACTGGTGCACACAAAACTTGACTTGACTGTGATTCATTATTAGTACAGACAATCCATGTCAAGGAGCCCCATCTGTGCGATGACAGCAAGACACGTTAATATTTATACTTCCTCAAAATAAATTACTTATTATCATTACTGTGTCAGGCACACAATGATAAACAGCCAGCATGGGCTTAGATGACGCTTTCAATCATTTTGTTTTAAACGTTTGCATAATAGCTCCAATGCAGCTTGCAATGATGACACTGATTGAATTATAGTTATTGAATAAACATAACTAAACTCAGTGAACAAACAGAGATCCTCTGTGGTTTAAACAGAATGAAAAAAAAGTTTATGGAGTGACATTTAAAGGGATCAATCATTCAACAACTGAACAATATTTCACCTTATGACACAGGTTATAAGCAATGGCTTTAGCAAATGAATCATCTACATTTAACTACACACACACACTTGATCTACACACACACAAAATAGCATTGAAATGTATTGATTAATTTCTCATATTATCAGTTGTAGTCATTTAAACAGGCCAAATGAAAAGTGAGACATAGAAAGAAAATTAATGAATTAAATAACAGCAACTATGTCAAAGTAGCCTTTCGTTATGTTGGTTGAATGTAGGCCTACCTGTGCAGTACAGAGCCCCCAAGTTCAGAAAAAGGAACACTGTCCACATGTCAAAGAGAAGTGGTCATTTCTTCACCAGAAACTCAACATTTTCAGTCTCCCGGCAGCTCTGTTGAGGGTTCATCCACTGGCCCCGTCAGCTATGTCCGTCCGTTACCTTCTCAGGTACACGGAGCACCTGTTAGATACGCCGGTAAACTTAGAAAACAAACAAAAAGCGTGTTTCGAGGAAGTAAGTCGTCATGACCTTGACCGCCAAACGATACACTCTAATGATTAACAGGTAAAGCTCCCAACTCGGAACGGCTGGTTTCAACGAGGAAGGAATGTGACCTCACCTGTTTGTGCACATTGCGCAGGTGTGTGTGCGCGCGCGCGCGGCCGTATGTGTTTCTGCGTGTAAACTATGATCTATAGTCAGTCTTAACTTACAGGGACTCACGCAAGAACCTAATCAAAACCTTTTTAAAAGTCGTGCATTTCAAAAAGTAAAATACTTAGGCCTATGCTTTAGCCTATTTAATATCAGTGGTATTATTTTAAATGAGCTATCAACTCTGGATGTTTTTGTATTAACCAGTGCTGCTGGGTAATACAATATATTTCAGATTGAGACGTCATATTTCTTTATTATGTGATAGTATTTCTATCACTTGCTTTATTTCGTTTTTATACATGTAATCCCACTCAGTTTTACTTTAGTTTGTTGTTTCAATCTAACTGCCTTCCTGTCCTTCATAAGTTTCCATGTAGGCCTATTTCATTTGAAGTATATCTCAGTAGCTGAGGCTGAATACAAAACTGTCTGTTTTAAATAATATGTCTTTGTGTGCTTATGTATCATATTGGCTTGTTATTATGCTCGTTATGATTAACTAAGAGAAAAATGTTGTCCTTTTTTATAGTATCTGTAGACCTCAGATGAGCGTAGAGAATAACAAAGTCTAAATGATTCCCCCAGAAATTATGTGGGCAAGTAACAGGAATCAGAAATCATGTGTGTATGCGCACGCACATCACCCCATGCATGAGTTAGTGCCCCATTTGGACCACAGGTAAAAAAAAAAAAAAACTCCACACGCAACCTTTTCAAAGTTACAGCAGCATACTATTAAAACAAGGACTATAGTTGATAAAATGACACACCCTTTCTGTTGAATTTCAGCCATTCCGTTTAATCCAGTCTATTTTTACACATGCCAAAAATATAGCCTCGGGATGTTCCTAGTTCCACAGAAACACAGACAACACCCCCCCCCCCCCTTCTACCCACCTTGATTAAAATGAATAGGCTATGACTAACACAGTCCTGCAATTGAAAAGGGATGATCTTCATCTTTGCCGTCAAGTGTGACATCTTGTGGACAGAATGGGTCTTTGTCCACACTTCACATTACAGCCAACAGCTTAGACATTTAAATAAATTAATATAGCCTACTACTGAATATAAACGATATGGTTCATTTTTCTTTAATCCTCCAGTCATACATAACATAACAACAATCATGTGTTTATGTTATCGTATAACAATGACACATTGAAGCGGAACGTTGCAGCTTGTGTTTCGGGTTTGCCTCCGGATTGTTTTTGCAGTTGCGCGTCGTCGGCGCGTTTGTCCCGGGGTCTTGTAGCATGTAGCTAAGTGTTAGTTGCCTTTTGCTGATGGAAGTATCACTAACCTGAGAGATTTGTTGAGATGGTTCGCTAAAATTGAAAATTAAAAAAATAAAATAAAAATGGCGCTCTCGATGGAAACGCAGCTGCAAAGCATCTTTGAGGATGTTGTGGTAATTTAATTCTTCAAATGATGCACGTATAGTCACATAGTTAGCATTTCAGACAATGTTAGCCTTCTGCAATAAATGTTTATAGTAAACCTGCTGTGGTTTTCAGCTAAAAAAACCCTACAAAATATACAACCTCGCTTTTTTTAGCATCAGTTTTTCTTTAATAACATATGCCAAATAACCTCCGATAAATCCCGATAACATCTGGAAACATTTAGATGTCTTGATTAGATAAATTGTCTTAATTCAATTATTAATTATTATATTTCGTTATAAATCCAAATAAAAGGTGACGTAGTGTCCATGCAGCTATACACTTATGATATGAAGTTAAAGAAGTTAAAATATTGATAGAGGCAACAGCAATTAGTACAAGACAATGTTTAGGTGTTGATATTTATATATTGTTTGTAAAGCTAGAGAAGGCTGTTAAATTCAACCACAATAGAAATATAGACAAAACATTATTTCATGTTGTCCCACATAATCTTTATTTTTTTTTTTCTCCTCCTTACCTCAGAAAACAGAGATGATAGAAGAGGCTTTTGCTGGGTAAGAGACCTTCAAACATAATCTTGAAATCCGTGTAGTTGGATTTTGTAGAACAAAGCAGGTCTGACTGGTTGGACAGAAACAGAGAAGAAAATTGACTGTTGATTTTTTTTTTTTAATCAATATATTTGCTTAAAAAAACAATACTATGCTAATATGTACAGTGTGGCGTACAGTGGATAAAGGATATGGGCCCAGGCATGCTGAAATGTCTGCTGTGTTTCAGGATGTTTATGGACACTCCAGAGGACGAGAGGACTAAACTGATCAGCTGTCTTGGGGCCTTCAGACATTATTGGGGAACACTACCACAAGTTTGTATACAAATAGAGACAAATCTGGCTTCAGTGATGAATTATTGTGGTTGTTTTATAATTTCCTTCATGTGTTTCTGCAGGAATCTCATGAACAGTGTGTGCAGTGGATAGTGCGGTTTATACACAGCCAGCATAGTCCCAAAAGGATCTCCTTCCTCTATGATTGTCTAGCAATGGCTGTTGAGACCAGCCTGTTAACACCAAGGTACACACAGACAATCACTTTCACATGATGATTTGCATCTCACATGAAACCTAGATTACATTTATCTAAAGTCAGTCCGTTAATCCATTGTGTCTTCTATCAGTCTTATCTATTCTGTCTCTTATATGTCCAAGCCGTCCGTCTAATGTGTCTCTTTTGGTGTCTGAAGGATGGTGTGTGTGGCTCTCATAAGCTCAGACAGTTTGGAGTGGGAGAGGACGCAGCTGTGGGCGTTAACATTCAAACTGATTCGCAAAATCATTGGAGGAGTGGACTACAAGGTCTGACAAAAACACACACACACGTACACACGTACACACATCACCTTTATATATATTTTTTATGGTAGCTGGGGCAGTAGTCATTATTAGTGTATTCCTAATAAGCATGTTATGCATGCTGTTTTAATCCCAAAAAAAAAGGAAATGTGAAAGTTGCATTGTTTAATCCAAAACTACTGCAGACTCATTAAACATTTTGTCCCTGCTGTTCTTTTCCCTTGAAGAGACTTTTTAAGAGATTTTTTTTTTAAGATAAACGTGGCCATAGCAGAATATGGTTTTGTGTGTTTCAGGGTGTTCGGGACCTGCTGAAAGCTGTACTGGATAAAATTCAAACTATTCCCACCACGGTCAGCTCAGCAATAGTCCAACAGCTTCTTGCTGCAAGAGAGGTATTTCTTTATCTTGATTCTGTGATTGCTTCATTTTTTGCACACTCAAACTGTCCAATTTAACCATTCATAAAAAAGTACCGATACATATTTGACTTCTTAGTGTCTTTTATGTTGTATGTTGATTGGATGTATGTACGGTTTTACTGCTGACGGCAAAAAACAAATATTATTGATAATAAAGACAACCTTGATCCCTTGAATTATTTACTTTCTTCTATTCCAGGTGGTTGAATACATCCTGGACAGAAATGCTTGCCTCTTGCCAGCATACTTTGCCATCAATGAAATCAGAAAACTTTATCCAGAGGGGCAGCTGTCACACTGGGTGAGTGTGTGCGTGTATTTGTGTCTGTGTATGTGTGTGTGTTTGTGTGCAGCTATGCCAGTGTTATATAAAAAGTACTTCTCTGTTTTCTCTCCTTTTCTCTCTTTCATGTCATCTCTGTAGCTTCTTGGGAGTTTGATATCAGACTTTGTGGACAGTTTCAGACCCACAGCCAGAATCAACTCAATCTGTGGTAAGAAACACCTAAAACCACCCACACTGCAAGCTTACAAGATATTCATTTAAAACGCTAGAGAGGATTTTAGGGTTTTTTTGCAAACTGTTTCTCATATATCCAGCTTTGCTGAAGCTTAAAAGAGGTCCATCCGTTTGAAATCAAAATATAATTGTAATAAATAATGAAATGTGATCAAAAAGAGAAAAGTTGTAGAAAAATCTAAACCCCATGACGACATGATACAACTTATATTAGGGCAGTAATCCTTTTTAATCATTTCATATATGTGTGAATGTGTGTGTCTGCAGGTCGATGCAGTTTGTTACCTGTAGTGAATAACAGCGGGGCCATCTGTAACTCCTGGAAATTAGACCCCACTACTCTCCGCTTCCCTCTGAAAGGAATGCTGCCTTATGACAAGGTAACATACTTCTACACTACTTGAAGGCTTTTTTTAATCGTATCATAACTTTGACACTTTTTGGATACTGTATGTTTAAATGATACACAGCCACATTCAATAAACACCATCACATAGAAAAGAGAAGCTTTAAAAAAACACATACATCTAGAGTTTCAACAGAAAAGAGAGAGAGCTGAGCGACCTAGTAAAAAAGTAAATACAGTAAGCATAACCAAGTATGCTTTACTTTTTTCTATTTATTCACTGCAGTTTTCTTTAATGGAACAGCTTACTGTCTAATGAATGATGAGCAGCACAGATCATTAAGAAATACTGGCAAAGAGCCCTTTCTTTTGTGTTTGTGAAGATTCTGCCCTTCATCATTTTTATCACCACATACAGTATTGAAATGTGTTTCATGTATTTAGTGGCTTTTATACGGCTTCTTATTTTGCCGTCACACCAAAAAAGTATAAAGTATTGTTGCTTATATGAGTTTCACATCAAAGTTTAAAATTCTGGCATTGTGACCTGACTAAATGCACACACACATGAAGACCAAAGCAGTAATCCAATGTATGTTTTCTGTATGCAGGACCTGTTTGAGCCACAGACGGGCCTCCTGCGCTATGTGTTAGAGCAGCCGTATTCAAGAGAAATGGTGTGCAACATGTTAGGACTCAACAAGCAGGTATGAAGATCTCTTTTCTAGATTTGCTCCCCTGCTTCTGTACCAGGCCCCTTCAACTGCCGTCACCCCTCTGTCTTATTAATACTTTCCTTTGTTTCAACGTTTGCCACCTCCCTCTCTGCCACCTCCTTTTTCACTACCTGCTCCTGCTGTTTCTCCTTCTTTTTCCTCCTTGTCTCCTCTCCTTGACTGGTGTCCTTTTCCTCAGTCACTTAGGTTCATGTTTTTGTTTTTTGGCTTTTTGTTTGGTACCTTTGTTCCTATTTTTTCTTTCATTTTTTCGTTTCTCCACCTCCCCAAACATTCTTCCCCTCCTTTGTTGCCCTGGTAACACAGCTATTTAAGACCATATGTAAAGCAAGTCAATGCTTAGAGCTTGACCCATAATGCACTGGTGTCAGTTTTCCCTGTAGGGTTCATACAGTTTGAACTCCTCACTGGCTCACTGAGCGCCACAGACCGGCTCTCACTGGCAAGCGCTCTGTTTTTTAATTGAAACGAATATCCCAGAATCCATTTGGTCTGAGCCAGCTGAGTTGATGCTAACTGTGCTGAACCGACAGCGAACAACTTAGCTTGTTAGTCACCACTTTCTGTCTTTCTGTCTCTTCTTTTTTTCCCCCTCTCTCTGTTTCTTTCTCCCCCTTTCTTTGTTTCTCTCTGTTTTTGTCCTTTGGTTGTGTATGTTGTTGTTTTTTTTTCCTACCTGCCATGCGCTCTCTAGACTCTGAACATTGCCCAGGTATGTCGTTGTTCCTCTTCCTGGTCGCCATATCTCCCAACTAACCAGCCCATCAGACGCTTAGCTTTCTTGGCACGCTAATGTTGTGGAAAATTGGATCCTGAACATAAAAAAAAAAAAAAAAAAGGAAAAAGTTGAGATGGAGAGAAATGCTACAGAGCTTGAGATGGTCACAGCAGGGCTTCATTGAGATTAGAAAAAAAAATGGAGAGAGGAAAATGTGGACAAATAAATACTGGGCAGGCACAGAGACAAAGCAGATAAATAAAGACAGACAGGCCAGAGCTGATCAATGAGTCTATTCAGTAGACTTCACCTGCTGACACATCTATGCTTTTGTTACAGCAGAATAAATACAACATGAATAAAATGTATTGATTAAAGGGCCAAAGATGAATTATTTATTAAGTAGATATTCAGCATCTCGTTATCATGTCCGGCTTATTATGCTAGTTAAGGCCGTTCTACATTTAAATAGCCATTAGCAATATGTAACCAGTGCTCATACATTACACTCTGTTAATGTCCCCCTGCTTTAATTACATCAAGTGGTGTTTTTGCAACTTTAAATAGCTCTGTATATTCATGTTTAATTCCCTTTATATTTTCCATGATGCATCCAATGCCAATTTTTCATTGCCCAATGAAATTCCATCCACGAACAGTAAGGGCGTTGTGTAAAATAAAAACACAAATAGAATGTGGTGAATGTGGTTCAAAATAATTGAAATTCTTTATTTAATTGAAAACAGCTCAAAGACAACACTCATATGTTGCATCTGCCCCAAAGAGGAGAGAGACCATCCTGCTTGTTATCAGGGCTCAGTTGAAAAGCCAGCCCAGTGATGGTATGGGGGTGCAGTAGTGCAAATAGCGATGGTAACCTGCACATTTTTGAAGGCTCCATTAATGCTGAATCATATCAACAGGTTTCTGAGCAACATGAGCTGCCAAATAGACTACTTACTTTTCAGGGAAGGCCTTTCTTCTTTCAACAAGACAACGGTCAACCATATTCAGCGCATGTTACAAAAGCATGGCTCCGCAGCAGAAGAGTCCCGGTGATGAACCTGCCTTCCTGTAGTCCTGATGATTAAGTGTACAATCCAGAACTGTTTAGCAGCTGAATTCTTACATTGAATAGGAATGTCAGAACATTTCACTTTTAAAATGACAGAAATAAGACTCCTCAGTTCCCAATACACTATGAGAACTACAGCAAGTGACCCTGTCCCAATGTTTTCCAAACATGTTGCTGGTATCAGATTTGAATGGATATATAATTCCCCCAAAATGTTTTATGAATTCAGTTATGAAGGTTCTCTTGCTATCTTCAAATAAATATTAGATTTCAATGTTTTGCAAATCATCACATTCTGTTTGTATTTATATTTTTACACAATGTCCCAATTTTTAAGGAGTAGGTTGACTTAAAAAAAGTACAAGTAAACTGAGAAGGTTATAAATCACTGCACTGCATTCAAAAAAAATAGTCCCAGCCATTATACACAGTGTGTGTGGTTCCAGCTGAGATGCTAGTTTAAACCCTGCTGTTGACATTTCAAGTCCTGCAGCGCTGCATGTATGGATGTAGTCTGGTCCTTGCTAGCGAGGTCGTCATGTATCTGACTCGATGCTGCTCTTTGTTGTGCTGACCTAGGCAAAACTAAACTAACTCTGTTATTTAGCTTCAAGCTACAACTAGCCAGTTGGCAAGAGATTGTGAGGTCACAGCCAGCAAACAAAACTGAACAAGTACTCTACAAAAGTCACGCAGATCTCCCAGACAGATCTTTACATATCAGGAGGTCAGAGTGGTTAGTTAATTATTTTTCCAATGGCAGAGTATGTCAGTGGATTATAATGACTTTCTCAGTGTCATGTCTTCTATTTCCAATCTTAAATAACTTTTCATACTGCAGCCCATTAGTGAGCTTCATTCCTATGCAGTCTAATCAATTTATTACATGTAAAAATTATATTTTAGGCTTCTTACAATAACTTAGTATTTGTTTTACAATAATCCATTATACCAATAATGTCTTGTTTTGTCCCTCCAGGTCACATATGGAGAGATACTTTTGTAATGACATCTTGGGAAAATGTGTGCATAGATAGCTTTGAGAATGGAAGACATGGCAGAGTTTGAAATATGTAACCTTACTGCACTTCACGCTTATTTATTCCAAATCAGCGTTTTGCCAGGGTCAGCAGACGAGTGATTCTGATTGGCTGTCTTGGCTGACTGAACTCTGACCCGTGTTGTGTGGTGTTGTTTGGCTTGGTTTTTTAATCTCTTGTGTTTTTTTTTTCCCCCCCACCGGTTTGCACCTTTTGCATCGTAGTTTGACATTTTGACCTTTAAGTATTGCGCTGCAGTGCATCACTAACCACAAGCAACAGCTTCTATGACCATTTAAAAACTAGGCTGTGTATGCTAATCACTTAATGGCCAAAATAACTGTGATACATTTAGAGCAGTTCTTTGTAGCAAATGTATTCAAATACTAAATAAATTCTAGACAAAATATCAGAAATTTATCTGGAAATTTCCTTTGAAAATTCTCCTCTAAAAGGGCTTGGGTGGCTTGGGCTTTCTTGCACCACGCCTGATAGTTTACAGTGAGGAGGCAGACTCAGAGGGCAGATCAAACACCTAGCTGTGGGAGTGTCACCCGACTGGGGGAGGGGTTACTCCCCTTTGTGATGTCATGAAGGGAAAATCTCCAAACTGTTTGAGCACACATTGTCTGAAAAGTGGAGCACACAAAAGATAGAGAGGGTGGACTTTTTTCATAATTGGAGAGTTTGTTGACAGACAAGGGACACATATTAGTGTTTGAAATACATGGTAAGAGTGTGTTTTGCACAATATGTGACCTTTTAATGTTACCATGAAATCAAAGAAAATGTCTTAAGACTTTTTAAACGCATTTCTTGCAGTCATTGTCAGTGCATTTCCTGGAAAATGTTCATGACTCATCCTGCACAAGGGTTAATAAACTAATCTACTTTTGTCATTTGAAATGCCCTCCACTGTGTCTCACAGGACTGTTCAGCTAGTGGTTGTTGTTTTTTTTCACCTTTATTTTTCTTTGAATGTTCTCAACAACAAGTCCCTCTGTAGCTTTTTGTCCACAGAGAATAAACTTTGTAGAATTTGATCAGAGTTGAGCTTATTTTGGAAAAACATGAGATTGACAGCCAGTGTGACTGCTCTCCTATTCTGATAAAGAGAACTTACTTTAAAGTGTATCTTCAGTATACTGGCAGTTTGCCTTTGAATGAGATGTTGAAAGGAAATGTTTGTCTGTGGTTGAGGTGGATCTTATCCAGCCACTGGAGTGGTTTTAGGACACTGTCTGTAGCCATTGGGCTGATGTACTTCGACCTTAGAGGGAAGATAACGTCTGTGGATCCTTCTCTGTCTCTCCCTTTTTTTGTTTTTCTCTCTCCCTCTCTTTTTTTCCTTTGAGAACGTGTGAGCATGTGTGTGTGTTTGTGTGTGCATGTTTATGGCAGGGGAAGAGAAGCCATCATTGCTTCTCCTCCTCTTCCCGAACACAACACCTCCGCACCGTCCGAGACCCGTCTGCCTGCATGCAGGATGTTGTTGCACTGTTTGGTTTTGTGTTGAGTTCTATGCTGTGCCGTTCCGTGTCTTACCGTGCCATGCTGTGGCATTCAAGGCTGTTGTGCTGTGGGGGGGGGAAATAAGGCTCTGAAGTTGATCAGTGGTAGATCCCCACTCCCTCTGCTCTGTCACCAGTGGGTTAACTGAGGTTTGCCTTCTTGGTTAATAGAATGATTTTAGTAAAATAAATGATTTATATTCCAATACGTTGAAAAAGACCGTTGTCTTCTTTTCCATGAAACTATGGCAATAAATAAAGTTAGAGATTATGCTTCCAACCATTATTATTTAATACTGCCATGTTTACACCCACCCAATCTTTTGAACCTGCCTTCTTCACTCTGCTGCACATCCCTGTCTCCGCCCTCTCTCCATGTTATCCCCTCAGTCATTCTTCTCCTTATTTTCCTCCCTCCACCCGACCTGCTGCACCTCTCCACCTGTCCTTCATTGTCTCAACATTTCTGGTTCAGACATCGGGCTGTTCCTCCATCATATCTACGATCATAATGTTTGCATGAGACATCTGCTCAGTCCCACTTTAATCAACATTCAAATACATTTACATTTGGATTTCTACAATTTGTAAATGTTTAAGGACAACCCACATTCATAACCATTGCGGTATTTGTGCCAGTGTTGGGCACTCAGAGTAAGAGGCGGGAAGGAGATGCCGTCCCGCATGCAAGGGATGGGAAAAGGTTTTGATTGGTGTGTTTGTTGGAGCACATGATAAATGAAAATGTGTATGTGAAGTAATTTGATGATGACCTTTCCCACATTCTCTTCCTCCTCCTGTCTGTCTCTCCTCTCCCCCTCTCTTCAATCCTCTTTGAACCCTTTTCTATTTCTATCTTTTTTTTCTGTCCTTGGACATCTTTCTCTCCCTTTTCTCTGTTTGACTTCTCTCTCTCTCTCTCTCTCTCTCTCTCTCTCACTCTCTTCTGTCCACTCTTTTCTTTGTCCTTTAACACTCCCCTCCTCCCCTTCTAGCAAAAGCAGCGCTGCCCAGTGCTCGAGGAGCAGCTGGTGGACCTTGTTGTGTACGCAATGGAGCGCTCCGAGACTGAGGAACACTTTGACGCCGATATCGGGGGAACGAGCCAGCTGCTGTGGCAGCACCTCTCTTCTCAACTCATCTTCTTTGTGCTGTTTCAGTTTGCAAGCTTCCCACACATGGTGCTGTCTTTACACCAGAAGGTAAGAAGAAAGTAGGAGTCTCCGCTACAGAGGAGGGTAGTGTTGCCAGCTCCGAGTTTGATGGGAATTTTGGGAAGTATAGGTTAAAAACCAACTATTGAAGAAAACATAGAAGAATACAAGATTTGGTGTTTAAATAATATAACAGGTTAACAACTTATGAATAGAGCCCGACCGATTAATCGGCCAGCCAATAATATCGGCCGATATAAGCTTATCCAGTGACTATCGATATCGCCTAATTTTATTACAATATGCGCCAATATTACCCGATTTATTCTCCAGTCAAATCGCATTTAATTTGAGTTTCACTGTGTTAAACTAGCAGTTCTCTGTCACCAGCAGAGGGCACTATATGGATTAAAAGCAGTTCCTTTCCAGTTCAGTGAACATCTTGTCTTCATTATAAATCTTTCCCAAGTGTTTGATAACTGCTTTTGAGGGATCAACACAATAAATCTATCTATCTCTACAGATCGAACATGGATCTAAGAAATATATTGGCCGATCCATATCAGCACCAAATAATCCATATTGGTCAGGCTCAATTTATGACTATTGTTGATGTTGAGTGTCTCTCTCTCTCTCTCTCTCTCTCACTCTAGCTTGCAGGTCGAGGCCTCATCAAAGGGCGAGACCACTTGATGTGGGTCTTGCTTCAGTTCATTTCAGGAAGTATTCAGAAGAACGCCTTAGCCGACTTTCTGCCTGTCATGAAGCTCTTTGACCTGCTTTACCCAGAGAAAGAGGTGCACATCTGCCAAACATGATCTTTTTTATCTATTATTTTTTTTCTTCTTGGTACTGAGTGTATTGTCTTAAAGGTTCTTTATGTTTATTTTATTGTATTAGTAATAGTTACTACAGTGCTTCTTCTCTCACTCCAGTGCATTCCAGTTCCTGACATCAACAAGCCCCAGTCGACTCATTCCTTCGCCATGACCTGCATCTGGATCCACCTGAACCGCAAAGCTCAGAACGACAACTCTAAACTGCAGATACCCATTCCACACTCCCTGAAACTGCACCATGAGTATGTGTCTTTAAAAAGCTGTTCCCGGAGGAGAATTTAAAAATGTTGCTTTAGTTCAAAGGAAGATTTATCCAACAATCCCAGCAAACTGCTCCAACTCAAAACATAAACTTAAAATGTTTCCAATACAAACCCTTTACTTTCCATGTTTAAGAATTTCAGAAGCAGCAGGTGCTCCCATGATTTATAATAAAATCTGTGTTTTGGGCCTTTATGAGGTATAAAGGGTGAACTAAAATCCAAGTAGACTTACAGCATCTTTCTCCTTCCCTCCCTGCTGTCTTTTAGGTTTCTCCAGCAGTCACTGCGCAACAAATCTTTGGGTATGTCCGACTATAAGATCGCCCTGCTGTGTAACGCCTACAGCACCAACTCTGAGTGCTTCACACTGCCAATGGGCGTCCTGGTGGAGACCATCTACGGAAACGGATCACTGAGGATCAACCTACCTGGCACCAACTGCATCGCATCAGGATCGGTCACCCCGCTGCCCATGAACCTGCTGGATTCACTCACAGTACACGCAAAGATGAGGTAGGGTGACAACAAAGGACTGACAGATGAATTCATGTAGAGACAAGCAGATGATTCTCTCTCTCTCTCTCTCTCTCTCTCTCCCTCTCTCTCTGATCTGCTACAGAGCATGTGCGCTCATGGGAGAGCGAGGAGAGATTGTGCTCTAGTTTACTGATAGCAGAAAGTTATTTTATACAGATAAGAATAAGCAAAACATACTTGGGCAGCCCGCCTCTGTGTCATCTATGTGTGGGCTACACTGCATAATGATTATGAATTGTCACATAAATATCCACAGAAGAGCACAGAAACTATCATACCAAACACAGAACTAGTACATTAATATTTAATTTAGCAAATGTATTTAGGCTGTCATTTTACTGCAACATATTGCGTGATGATATCTGTTTATTGCAAAACATCTGAGCAAACATGTTTTGATATTTTTTTCATGACCCGCAGGCTGAAAATAACACTATTCATATCAGTGAGATGTGGTCGTGCTTCAGCCCCATCATGACTGGCTGCTTTAGGTTTTTACCAACCAGCAGATGTTGCTGTGTTATCAAGTTAGAAATGGTCAGAAAGCCTCAATGCGTCACAAAACTTCTTGCTGAGTCTCTCTTTTCCCCCTCTTGTTCTGCGTTCAGTCTGATCCACAGTATTGCCACGCGGGTCATAAAGCTGGCCAGCACAAAGTCCAGCCAGGCCCTGGCCCCTGCGCTGGTTGAAACATACAGCAGACTGTTGGTCTACATGGAGATCGAGTCTCTGGGCATCAAAGGATTCATCAGTGAGTCACAGACACATATGAATTCATTCTGCATTTCCACTCTTTTGAAAACTTTTTAATCTCAGACGAAGAAAGAACAGTATAATCTGTCCTCTCATTCTCCTCCTCATTGCAACATCCCATCATTATCTGAACGTGTGTTTCATATCACTTTGTCTCACATATTGTATCTCTTTCTGTCTGTTTAGGCCAGCTGCTGCCCAATGTGTTTAAGTCTCACGCGTGGGGAATCCTTCACACGCTGCTGGAGATGTTCAGCTACAGGATGCACCACATTCAGCCGCACTACAGAGTCCAGCTGCTGAGTCATCTGCACAGTCTGGCTGCTGTGCCCAGACCAACCAGAACCAGCTACATCTATGGTAATGTGAACAACATAATCTCTACTAGATTACTGATATTATGTAAAAAAAAAAAAAAAAAAAGGTTGATAATGGTCTCTACTGCTGTCTTTCTTGCTCTCTCTCTTATATCAGTGTGGAGAGCACAGCTCTTCGGTTGATCACAGCTTTGGGGAGTTCAGAGGTGCAGCCTCAGTTCACTCGCTTCCTCAGCGACCCAAAGACGGTTCTGTCAGCCGAGTCTGAAGAGCTGAACCGAGCACTGATCCTTACCCTGGCCAGAGCCACACACGTCACTGGTAGCACACACACTGCTTACTTCTGTTGATCCTTTTCTAAAATGTATTACCAGCTTTGCTTTTCTTCCATTTGATCCCCTTCCTTTCTCGTTCATTCCTGTGATTTAAGATTTCACCTGTTTCCAGTTATTTGAGTTATATTTAAATTTTGTTTGCTTTGTGTCTGTGTCTTTGTGTTTAGATTTTTTCACAGGGTCGGACTCCATCCATGGGACTTGGTGTAAAGAAATCCTCCAGACCATCATGAACTTCACGCCTCATAACTGGGCCTCACACACGCTGTCCTGCTTCCCTGCCCCGCTACAGGTGTGTTGTGGACACGACATGAGGATAATTAAGCACAGTTATATTTGAATCTTGTTGTAATAACTTTGATGGATCTCGTTCTTCCTCCTAGGCGTTCTTCAAGCAGAACAACGTTCCTCAGGAGTCTCGTTTCAACCTGAAGAAGAACGTGGAAGAGGAGTACAGGAAGTGGAAGTCCATGACGAATGAGAACGACATCATTACACACTTCTCCATGCAGGGTTCGCCCCCGCTGTTCCTCTGTCTGCTGTGGAAGATGCTGCTGGAGACGGACCATATCAACCAGATAGGCTTCAGGTTCATTATTTTATACAGATACGCTCATAAAGAATCCACATATGTATAAACATGTATTTAACCTACACTGTCATAGCAACACACATACTTTGAGTTTCTTTACTTATTGTTTACATATTCACTTTTAATTTTTAATGCAGCGATTGCTATATCTGTGGCCCGTTCTGATTTCAGATTTGTTTTTTGTCTGACCCGCTGAGACCGATTTTGGCCGATTTCTTTAAAACACTTGAATTTTAGAGATAAAAAAAAAAAAAAACAAAAACAAATGATGGATGTGATGATTTTTTAAATCTTTTATTTATTGAAAATTAATTTTATTTTCATAATAAAACATTGACTGTTGAATAACTGTCAACATCTTCAAAACTGCACCAGGTTAAATTCCCACTCAAACAAATCTCCTCTAGAGGTTTTGAGTATCTTTATTCCATGTACTGTGGCTTATTTTAATGCTATGATTTATGGAGCATAAATCCCCCCCCACATTATTTATACCGCGTTATACAGTGTGTTTGACAGAACTATATCTTGATTTGGTGTCCCTCAGGGTCTTGGAACGCATCGGGGCTCGTGCGCTCGTGGCTCACGTCCGGACATTTGCCGACTTCCTCGTCTACGAGTTCTCCACATCAGCCGGTGGACCTCAGCTCAATAAGTGCATTGAAATGCTGAACGACATGGTCTGGAAACACAACATCGTTACGCTGGACAGACTCATCCTGTGTCTGGTGAGGAGAAACCTTCTTTAGGGTCTAAATTCTCAAACTGTAAAATGAGGACTTTGTGTCTCAGTTCTGTGCTTCTCTATATTCAGGCCATGCGCAGCCACGAGGGCAATGAGGCTCAGGTTTGTTACTTCATAATCCAGCTACTGCTGCTAAAACCCAACGACTTCAGGAACCGAGTCAACGATTTTGTGAAGGAGAACGCTCCTGAGCACTGGCTGCAGAGTGACTGGCACAACAAACACATGAGCTACCACAAGGTACGACTGTGGAAATAAAAGATTGTAGTGTCTGTCTGATACCGTAAAATTAAAAGAGCAAACCAGGTCTGAAGACACTGCATCCCTTTCCTTTTACCAGAAATACCCAGAGAAGCTGTACTTTGAGGGACTTGCTGAGCAAGTCAACCCCCCCATGCAGCACCAGACTCAGTACCTGCCCATCTACTTTGGCAATGTGTGCCTTCGCTTCCTGCCTGTCTTTGACATCGTCATCCACCGCTTCCTGGAGCTCATTCCTGTCTCCAAGTCTCTGGAGACGCTGCTGGACCATCTGGGAGGGCTGTACAAGTTCCATGGTGAGTGAGGTTGTCTGAAGACGTAAGGGGGTTGTGTTAAGCACGTAGAAATGAGAGAATAGGAACTGGCAATAAACACACAGATAAAAAGACGTAGACAGGAAGTGAGGAACCTGTGCACAGCATTTTGTGCACACTGGTGAGTAATAACTTCTGCGTTTGTGTACAGATCGCCCAGTCACCTACTTGTACAACACACTTCACTATTACGAACGACATCTGAGAGACAGAACCAATCTGAAGAGGAAACTGGTCCATGCCATCATGTCTTCACTAAAAGTAAGCAGGAAAAGATTTACCCACTAAAAACAGGTAACATTGAGTACACAAACTTGTTTGTATCTTAGTTGTCTCTAAACCTCACAAAAGTTTAGCCTTTTATTGAGTTACAGTGAGTTTTCTTTATAGGACAACCGCACACCTGGTTGGTGCCTCAGTGAGACCTACCTGAAGCTTGGCATGAACCCCCGAGAGGACAATGTGTGGCTCCCTGATGACACGTACTACTGCAAGCTGATTGGCCGCCTTGTGGACAATATCCTACCTTTATGTCCTCTCTGTCACTGATCTCTTCAATGGCGCACTCACTCTAGGCAACACGATTCACCCCAAAAGTCAATTTGTGAACCATGCTCGAGCACGTTCCACTTCCTTGGCCCTGGCACGCTTGGAAGAGGTCTGGATTCAGCACAGTACAGTTCACGCACGAGCACAAGCACGAGTACACAACGTGGACAGCCTTCATTATTGAGAAAACCTGGGGTGTTAGGGCGGACTTGACCGCGCACCGCTTTTATTTTTGAGTCCTCCTATCTTGTAAACTAAGCACGCGTCATGATCAGGTAAAGCCATTCATGTGTTGTATTACAGCGTTATGTACAAGAGCTAACCGTGAGTGCAGGCCAGCAGGGGAATGGGGGGGGGGGGAATCGTGCTTAAGTACAGTATGGTACAACTTTGCCTAGTGTGAGTGCACCCTAAGTGACCCTGATACTGACTCGTAAAATGTCATGTGCCTAAGTGATTTGTTTACCTCACTGCCAACATGTCTACTCTCGCTCTGAAGCCCTTTTTTTTCTGCCAGTGTAACTTTTACAACAGGATAGAATTATTGAAAACAAGCCACAAGTTTTTCTTAACTATCGCTCCTCCACCTATGGCTGGCAAGTCGCCCGGTCCTTTCCCCAACTGTGACTGGAGATTCAACGAGTTCCCCAACCCCGCGGCCCACGCCCTGCACGTCACCTGCGTGGAGCTCATGGCTCTGGCTGTGCCCGGCAAAGATGTGGGCAACGCTTTGCTCAATGTTGTGTTGAAAAGGTATGAATAGAGACTATTACACTCTGCTGCAAGAGATTGATGTGAATGATTGACGAACCAGATAATGTTTTCTCTCACCTTGTAGCCAACCCCTGGTTCCCAGAGAGAGCATCACAGCTTGGATGAACGCCATTGGACTTGTGATAACTGCGCTTCCTGTAAGAAAACAAATCGCTCATCACAGCTGCTTTACTGTTTTAAGAAAGTCACTACAAGTTCTCCCCTCTCCCAGGAGCCCTACTGGATCGTTCTGCACGACCGCATCTCGACGGTGATCACCTCCCGGCGCTGACATCCGAGACCGAGTGGGCGGGTTATCCATTCGCCCTGCTGGACTTCACAGCGTGCCACCAGAGCTACAGCGAAATGAATTGCAGCTACGTGCTAGCATTAGCGCACGCTGTGTGGCATCACTCATCCATTGGACAGCTGTCTCTCATTCCCAAGTAAGAAGTCTTCCTCAACCTCTATTTTATTTATTCCCTTGAGTTGATGCTGTTTGATGTGTTGTTGTCATGTCACCATAAATCTTTGTGTGTGTTTGTGTGGAGATTCCTCTCAGAGACCCTGAAGCCCGTCGTCCAGACAGAGTTCCAGTTGCTCTATGTGTATCACCTGGTGGGGCCGTTCCTGCAGCGCTTCCAGCAAGAGAGGACGAGATGCATGTTGGAGGTACATGCAAAACTGTTCTTTATTATTATCATAATTTAGTTTTCAAGTAACATCATACATTTTAAATTTGTCCATTCACATTACACTATAATAACTGCAATTAATCACAGAAAATGTAATTTACAGCCTGGCTCCACCACAAGAGATCTACTTAAAACAACCTCAAATTATTTCAAATGATTCAATTATTTAGTCCTGTCAAGCAGTCGAAATGGATCAAAAATGTAAATCTAACACCTATCGATGTTCTAGATTAAGTCTGTAGACCAATCAGCGGCTGAGTACTTATATGTTGTCGCCTCTCAACCGGAAGGTCGAGAGTTCGATCCCCAGCTGAGCAACATGTCCGATGCATCCTTGGGCAAGACACTTAACCCTGCATTGCTCCCGCTGCTTCAGTGGCGGTGTATGAATGGATTAGTGTTGTATTTACGTTCAGATGTTCGTCGTTTTGGATTAAAGAGTCTGCTAAGTGAAAAAAAAAGGCACGGAAACAGCAAGTGAAACCCTGTATCAAATGAATGATGATCTACCAAGTATTAGTTGGATGTCTACATTCTATAAGACTTGTGTTTGTTTGTTTGTTTTCAGATTGGTGTTGCCTTCTATGAGATGCTCCAGGCTGTGGACCAACACTGCCAACATCTGAGCTACATGGACCCAATCTGTGACTTCCTGTATCACATCAAATACATGTACACTGGAGACAGTGTGAAGGAGCAGGTGATGATAAATAATGGGTTTTTTATCTATCATTTATCTCTCGAGGGTCAGGGTCGGGATGCATTGGGTGTTATGAGGCAAACCAAGTTGACCTGGTGATTAGAGTGTACTTAAATGATTCTCCTGCCTCAGAAAATGAACCCAACTGGTTGAGGGCCAAACGAACCAAAATCATGTTGGTCAGCTAATCCAGTCAATCTGTTTTTCTGTTCTCTCCGTCTCTTCTTCATCTGTTGCTCTTTCTTCAGGTGGAGAAAATAATCATGACCCTGCGTCCGGCCATGAAGCTTCGTCTTCGCTTCATCACACACAGCAGCCTGACAGAGTCCTCATCGTCGGTTGCCGCTGCAGCTGCCGCCGCCGCCGCTGCTGCGGCCGCTGCCGCCGCTGCTGCCTCTGCTGCTTCCTCCGCCTCCTCGTCTTCCTCCACCCCTCAGCCCACCGCCTCCACCTCGCTGTCAGCATCCTCTGCCGCAGCCTCGCCTTCCACCGCACAGCATGCACACACACCCATGTAGGTTAAGACAAACACAGGTACCCTCGCAAAGACGGACATTTACTCAGAATAACATCACAGACTGATTTATTTGGAGTTATTTTTTAACTTTTTTTTTTGGGACAGAACTGTACTCTGAAGAACCCTGGGGTGCTGACTGTATTTTCCAGGAATGATTGTTGTTAATGTTTCAACATAAACTTGTTTAACGTGTGTTTAAAACTTTGTATTTCTAGAACCTCAGCTTGTACCAAAATGACAAAAAAAACAAGCTGGTTTTGCTGTAGAACTCTAAAAATGAATTACATAATTCAGAGGACGTCACATTACATGTAGCATACAGAAAACAATATGACTATTTAAAATGTAGTCATAAAGTAAATACTGCATAAAGAACATTCAGAAGGGTCGGAATGAACCCAAATTTCTCTTTGTATTACAGCATCTTTTTAAGTTTTCTGTTTGTCATTTTTTATACTGTACATTATTATTACTGCATTAAAAAAAGATCTTGGTTAAATGGGTTGATCTTTTTGTTCAATCTTCTGTATTAGCGGATCAGACAGGTCCATGGGTAACAGGTATTATTCAGTGTACATTTCATTGTTTGTCATGATACCATACTTTGTGTACGGGTTGTTTGAATTCCAATCAGGGCCTTTTGCAAACTACCTGCACATCTTTGAAGTGATACACCAAAAATAAGTCAATCGTTTCTTAGTTTGCTCTTTGTTCATATCGCCCTGAATTCATGATAGCTTCACCATCCCGTTGGGTTGGTTGTCAAAATCCTTCCTCACCCTTTCAAAGTCTTGATAAAAAAAAAAACACGTTTAACAGAGATCCATGACACATTTGGATGCCCAGTTTTAAGAAAGGTACCGTTTGATTGAAGTATTTAGTTCACAATTTGAATCCCTTTTGTGAGAGAGGGAGACCTAAACTTAATTCCTGGAGTTAAATTTTTCAAGACGGGAAATTAAATTATATAAAGGGGCCCCTCTGGGTGATACAGAACGCTGGAGAATAGATGAGGCTTTGCAGTCTCTTTCTGCGTCGTGTAGTCAGCATTCACAAGTTGTCATTTTGGCAGTAGGTCTAAAGTTTGGTACCAAAAAATGATTTACTGAGTGCCAGCCAATGCAGTAATAGAATCTCAGAATACCTGAAACAGTAGGCCTATTTCAGTGCATGAGGTAATTATTATGTGCGTACAAGATTTATTTGTTCATTTATTTTACTTTTTGGGAATTCGGGGGCTCTCGACAAGTGTATCTGTCAGGACATGGTCGGAATGAGTGCACAGACAGTGAAATACACATTTAACAACTAAGATTTTAAAAAATTAAGAAAAAAACCAACTTTTTTCTACTTTTCAATCAATTAGGAATCAAGGTGCGAACTACTACTGGGGTCCCCTAGTGTACAGAATCAGCTCATCATATTTACCAGTATGGGGGTGACTCTAAAGTTTGGTTTAACTTTTAATGAAATGTAGTAGCTCTTGGTTAAACATTTTGAGACAGTGAATAAAGTTGATGAATATTAACAGCTAGGCCTGTGAGAAATAAAGGCTACAGTGAAATACAGAACTAATTGACAATGAACGTCATACTCAATGTTCCAACTCATACACAGGAAGATGTAGAATATTAACTTACAGGCAGCTCCTTTAATGTTGGGCATGGTGTGAGGTAGTCTTTATTTATGTTGCTTTATTGCTTTACAGGTTTAGTCATTAACTAGATCAGAACAACTCTGCAGAAAACTATCACTATGCATGAAAAAAGGAGGAGGCAGTTATAGACCTGACAAAGACAAGAGGACTTGTGTTGCATAACAGCAGGTCTGCGTTTCGGTCGGTTCTGGTCCGCCTGCACTCTTGTTTCTGCACGGGCTGTCATGGCCCTCCTCTCAGTCCTCACACCGGTCCTGGCCGTGGTCCTGTGCTTGGTTTTGGGCTTTATGTTAGTGAAATCGCGTGAGACTAAGACTAGCTCGACCTCGGAGAGAAAAACTGAAGTGGCGTCCAAAGCAAAGGACTTTAAACCATGGGTGGACCAGGACCTGCAGGACGACACAGAAACCACAGCTAGAGAAGACGGTATGGAGCGAAGTGGAAACTTGGTTTTCCTCATTTGGCAGCTGAAGGTTTTAGTTTTCCAAGCAAAAAAGCAACGATTGTCTCTGAGTATTGTGACTGTTTTCATACTTTTTTATTAGTGTTTACGTGTTTTTTTTTTCATTTTCATTTTCATTTTAAGCTGGGTTAATCAATAATGGTGAAAAGCCTGTATCATAGCCTATAAATTGCAATGATGTCGTCTAATATTCCCTTCCTTTATTAAAAAAACTGCAAAATAATTATATATTTGTTCAAATAAGTCTATATGTTGTATAATAAGTTTATTTTGCGTCCAGAATCAAACATGCCTTCTTGTTTTTTTTCTACCAAATGAGTGGAACTGAGTACATTTCTTAAGGTACTTGTAGTCACTTGAGTAGCCTGCCTGCATTTTCTGTTACTCTTATTCTATTACCCAGTTAGGCTGAATAAATAAAGTACCCTTACCTTTACATAATCTGAAACATATTGACTTTGCTGATACATTTAGTGGACTGTAATGTTTGTATTATAATAAGGTAAACCCTTGTCTTCATGTATTTGCTGGGTAACTGGCTGTTAAAAAATACCTCAAGTTTTTAATTTTCACATTAAAAGCTTCTTACTTGATAATGTCTTTATTCCCTCTAGAGGATGGTGACTGGGTGGACAATTGTGAGGAGGACAGACAACATGTGCCGTACTCTCCTCCAAGTTACCCTGAGGAGATGATGCTGCAGAGATCCGAGGAGTTCTACACTCTGTTAAACCAGCGGAGGTCTGTCAGGTTCATAAGCCCAAAGCCTGTCCCAAGAGAAGTCATTGATAATGTCATCCGCACTGCAGGCATGTTTTGATTCAATCTGCTAATATTGACATAAAGACAATAAAGAAATTAAGTAATGTTTTTTCTACTCCATGCCGCCTTTCTGTTTAATTTGTCTCTCTCTCCTTTGTGCAGGTACAGCTCCGAGTGGAGCTCACACAGAGCCCTGGACCTTTGTTGTTGTGTCAGACCCAGAAATGAAGCACAAGATCAGACAGGTAGTGGAAGAAGAGGAAGAGGTTAACTACCGTCAGAGGATGGGGGACAAGTGGGTCAATGATTTGGCCAAATTTAAGTGAGCACATAACACACTCAATAAACCAATTTCAGTGTTTGTGAAACATATATATGTAGCTGCACTGATGCATTCTCACTGCAAACCCTTATTCATTACTGTCTTAAAAACACAATCAATTGAAGTCATCAAGGACCAATGGAAAGTTGAACTATTTTCCACTTACACACATGTCCTTGCTTCCTCTGATTACTTCCCCCCTCTCGCAGGACAAACTGGATTAAGGATTACTTGGACGTTGCTCCGTACCTGGTCCTCATTTTCAAACAGACCTATGGGATTCTACCAAATGGCAAGAAAAGGACACATTACTACAATGAAATCTCAGTCTCCATATCCTGTGGAATCCTTTTGGCGGCATTACAGGTAAAAAAAAAAAAAAAAAACATTGCCATTCCTTCAAACAAATATCTATAGATCATAATGTTTTCATAGTCATTCCATTTAAATAAAGGCAAAGTTAATAATGTTTACTAAACTGTCCCAGCCTTATGAAATTGCAAGCTTTCAAGAACAATGTATTTTATTTTTTTGCCTTATGAAAGTCCTGTGTCTGTTCTGTCTGTCCATTTGCCAAACAGAACGTGGGTCTTGTAACTGTCACGTCGACGCCTCTAAACTGCGGTCCCCAGCTCAGGGTCCTCCTCAAGCGGCCGGTCAATGAGAAGCTGTTGATGTTACTTCCTGTAGGTTATCCTGCTGCTGACGCCACAGTGCCTGATTTGAAACGCAAGCCTCTGGATGATATCATGGTGCGCATTTGAAAGAACAGACCTGCAAAGAAAAAAAAAATGCAAAAATTTAATTAATTTTCCCTTTGTCATATTCATCGCAGATTTAAAAATGAATGACTTCCAGTATTACTCAAATGTGATTTTTGTTGTGCTCAGAGTCTTGCAAGCGAGATGAAGCAAATGTTGTTGTTCAAAAATAGCAAGGTATGGAATATTAGTGTATCTTAATATCAATCTCTACCTTTACATCAAATAAATAACTGGCTGATAAGCATAACTTCATATGCCATTCTATTACTTTGAAGGTATAAAAGCCCTGCTTTTGGTTTTGCTACTTGGTTGATGGTTATATTGTGTAAAGGAACTTTGACAAAACAAATATATTTGTATTAATCGACAGACGTGGTTTCCATTGCTTTTGTCAACAAATAATACAGCTTTTGTCCTTGTGTAAACTGTAACTACATCTGAATTAACTACATTGTAAATGAGTTGAGTGCTTTTATCTTTTAATAAACAAAGCTAAGATTAGATAAGACATGTTTATTGTCACTGTACAAGTACTACAACAAAATATTGTTGGAGCAAGCCTGTAGATGCCTAATATCAGAAATATGCAAATATACAAATACTAAAACCAAATATTCAAATAAGAAATACAATTAAATAATACGATATAGTATACAACAGTGGTTCCCAAAGTTGGGGTCGGGACCCACTGGGGGGTCGCAAGAAGGGGGTCGTGAGAATTCTTCCAAACACATCAAAATTAAAAATCATTTAAAAAAAATCTATTTTACCCATTATTGTCAAAACATATGGAAAAAAAAAAAAGATCAAGAGATTAATTCTGCTACCATTATGAAAATAATAACACAGTGTTCAGGCTGTTCTTATGTGTCGTTCTAATTCCAGTGTTTGGATCGTGTACCCGGCTGTGCACAACGGTAAATGTTTTAACCACCTCCATGGACAGAGTGGGTCCCCAGTCTCTAGCACCTTATTTTTGCGGGGTCATGGGCTGAAAAGTTTGGGAACTCTGGTATACAATATACAATTAATTTGCAGGTGACAGGTGTAGACAGGTATAGCTAAGAACGTAATTGCCTTTCACTCCAAAAATGATTAAACGATAGGTCAAGATTCTGGGAACAGGAGTTTACGCTGTAAGTTTACGAGAAGTCTTGTAACATCTTACTCCTTAGACTATTTAAATATATATAGCCTACTATAATATATTAGTATATTTATATATATATATATATATATATATATATATATATATATATATACACATATATATATATGCACTATGAATATCGGTGTACGTGGTGTACGCCTGCGCAATGTGTCGTTTTTTTTTTATATTCTTCTTCTTCTACAGATATATATATATATATGTGGTTAGGCTCCATCTCGGAAAGCCTTTCACGCTGTCCTATCTTCAAGCTGCCGCTGGGTGTCAGTAGCGACCAGAAAAGCGCTGAATCATCTGCGGGAGAAGAAGAAGAAGAAGAAAAAAAAAAAAGCGACACATTGCGCAGGCGTACACCACGTACACCGATCTTCAGGAGCTGCATTTGGCTCGGATGCTAGCTGGCTAGCTTAACGGTCTGTCAAGTCGCGCACATTGGGCTCGAAGGGGGAAGCGTAGCGGTGGAGAAGAAGGGCGACCCAAGCGCCGCTGCTACGAAATGGCCGGGCAACAGTTCCAGTACGATGACAGCGGCAATACTTTTTTCTATTTCCTCACGTCCTTCGTCGGGCTCATTGTGATCCCGGCCACTTATTACCTCTGGCCCCGGGATCAGAATGCTGGTAAGGCCCGATTGTCTGGCTCACTGCTAACTCAGCTAACTCACTAACCCCCCCCCCCCCCAGTTTAAGTGTTCAGCCAGCATCTCGTAAACACTCACCAGTCTGTTAATCTGCTAGTGGATGCTTTACAACTTAACCTGGCGTTACCTTCACCTTGTTATTTGTCAGCTTGCCCACGTCTCAAAGGTGGTGTTCACGTCTTTTCCACTGTTGTACAAGTCAGGCAGTATTAACTCACACGGGCTTTAGTGATTATCTGTAACCTTATGGTACACACTAGTTTTAACTCTACACATCTAGTTAGCATTGCTCGTTTCAGCAGGTTAATCTAGAGCTACTCTCTGCAGTTTACCAATCTGTCTTTATCTCTGTGCAGCTATCAGTTTGTCAACAATATATCTGACACATATTATGGGAGTGACTGAAAAAAAGACACTATCATTCAGGGGTTAAGATAAAGTTAAGATAAGATGTACTTTATTCATCCCAGCAGGGAAATTTAGGTGTTCCAGCAGCCAGCATACATACAAACACACAACACAACACATATATACAAACACACAACACAACACATATATACACACACACAACACATATATACAAACACACAACACATATATACAAACACACAACACAACACATATATACAAACACACAACACATATATACAAACACACAACACATATATACAAACACACAACACATATATACAAACACACAACACATACATACAAACTCACAACACATACATACAAACACACAACACATATATACAAACACACAACACATATATACAAACACACAACACAACACATATATATACAAACACACAACACATACATACAAACACACAACACATATATACAAACACACAACACATACACAAACACACAACACATATATACAAACACACAACACATACATACAAACACACAACACATGTATACATACATATCCCACCCATACAAAAAAAAACAGGAGCCCACAATACAGTTTGATATATGCAACTCAGGCTAAAGTTTAAAAGTTTAAATGTCTTCTGTCCTTACTTAAAGGGGAGTCTTAGCTCTGTGCAGCTATCTGTTTGTCAACAATATATCTAACACATATTATGTAACCAAACTTTACTTACCTGGTCTACTGGGAATGACTGAAAAAGTTATTATATATTATTCAGGGGTTAAGATATTGATAGTCATTTAAAGCAAAATGGTGCATGCAAGCTTTTAACTAAATCGTACCGTGTCCAAGGTGCAATATAATAATGCAATCCACATGTTTTTTGAACTCATTTCAGGCTTAATGAAGTAAAACCTTTCCCTGCTTTGCATTGCATAATAATGATGTTTTGTCAGTAAGACTATTACAATGTTACCCTAGGCTAACTAGTAAAGCATTATCAGTGTTGACTGTTGTTAACATGCAGGGGGGGGGGGGGGGTCACAATACCAGAATTTTAAACTTGATCATAGTGATGCTATTAAAATGTTTGGAAACCTTTTGGTGCCAATGATTTTATGGAATTAAGACGGTGACAGAGTTTGCTTTCATTCCTCTCCTACACACCTCTTATGGAATTAATGTTGTTGTTTTGTTAAAGTTTTGGTCCTTTTTCGATTCTCTCATCACTAAAATAATAGAGATTTAACCGTTTAAAAATAAGTGATATTGTAACAAAATGTTGAAAACCTGACTCACTTGTGAGTGATTTCTCTCACTCCGTCTGTCCCCCTTTTTTTTTTTCCAGAACAACTGCGTCTGAAAAGCCTCAGAAGGGTCCATGGCAGGTGTTTGTGGTACCGGCTCAGGCTGATGAAGTCACAGCAAAGCATCGTCCCAACACTAAAGTGAGTCCAATGATTTAAGTCTGCATTGATGAACACAGAACACAGTTTCACTGAGGGCAACTACTTGTGGATGAACTTGCTTGTAAGTCATCTGAGGTCCTACCAGGTAAAATGTCCATAGGTAGCATCTCTGAAAGGTGATCACACTCATCTCACTTAGTGTTTGTAGTTGTTTATGTTCAGTTGGATCACTGTCATATGAATCTCACAACAAATGAGTGGCACTAACTTACTTTGAAGTGTAAAATGTTTCCTCCCTTGTTGTTAAATCTACTGTTTGGGTGAGACTGACCTGAGTTGTTTGTATTGACAAGCACAGTCATCCTCCCACTGCTCCGGACAGTTTTCTGGTTTTCAAGTGTGTTTCCAGCAGGACAGAGATGTTGTCATTGTTGTGTGAAGATTAGTCAAAGTCCACGCTGTCTGTCAGCGTAGGCAGGCTCGAGTTTAGACGTGTGGAAGTGGGTCATTTTTGGCAGGAGTCGGGTTTGTGTTGTTTTCATGTGCAAGCCTCTCCATTTTGTGTGCGGTTGGTGTAAACCCTGAGCTGGACTGTTTAACTTTTCTATTAACATGACCCTGTTTTCTCAGTGTTGTTTATCTCCCCTGTGAGGTAGGGGCTAATGGAAGGATGGGTGTTGGAGTGCTGTCCAGTATGTTGTCTGTGTGTTTTTTGAGTCTTTTTTTCTGTCTCTTCCTTCTCACATGTTTGTCTTTGTGTGTCCACTTTCCACTCCATTCCTGTCACTAGACCTACTTCTTGTTTTTCCTCTCAAAATTCATAAATATTTTATTTATCCTGGTTGCACTTGAGACTGAAGCCGATAGAATGTGTATATATATATATATATATATATACATCCTGTCTAAAGCTCAGCTTCTATTACCTCATCTCAGCTGTATCATAACAATGGTGTTTATTATAAACATCCAACATGTATTCTTTCAGCTAAGCCACTCAGACAACTCTGGGCTATCGAAGGTTGTCATGGCAACAGATGCTGCAGAGGAGGCCATAGGGTTTTGCCATTGTCATGGAAACAAGTTCAACTTCAATGCATAAATACCAAACAAAACAAAGTTGGACCCTGTGCTGTACTTCTGCTTGTAGACAGTGAATAAATTAAAGACCCCATACTTGTTAAAGCCTCCTGTAATGTCTAAAGCTTTCATTGCAAAGGTTGTTTTCTTTTTTGCACATTGGTTGAACAGTTTATCTTTATTTCAAACAGTGATAATAATCACAAGCCACAGTGTGAAAATGAAGCGGGTCTGTGTTTGTCTCCACAAAACAAGAGAAGTTGTATGTAATGTGTTCCTCTTTGTTTTGCTGTTCTTTTTTTTAGGAAAGCAGCCTTGTTATTTGGCTGGGCTGTGTTCCTGCTGTTAGCCTACAAGGTGTCCAAGCTGGACAGAGAGTACCAGGAGTACAATCCATATGAAGTCCTCAACTTGGACCCGGTAAACACAAATATAACACACAGTCTTCTGCATTCTACAAAAGCCTCTGAGATACCCTTAGACATTTATTATGTGTGCACACAATATGTGAGCCATAACTTCTTCCTCTAAGATTAAATAAAGGAGAAAAATATCCTGAAGCATTGACTTTTGAGACTACACAGTATTCTATTTTGGGTGATTGCTGTTGATTAAAATATATTTCTGTCTCAAGGGTGCATCGCTTTCAGAAATCAAGAAGCAATACCGCGTATTGTCGCTCAAGTACCACCCTGACAAAGGTGGCGACGAGAGTACATTCATGAGAATTGCGAAGGCATATGCTGCGTAAGTGTCAATCACATCATGACTTCATTAGCCAGGAAGCTTGACTGCATCTGCATAGTTTTAACAATATTTGAATCAGTAATGATGCGCTACAGAGTTGCAGGCCTTTGATTGATCCTTTTACTTGTCTGTTCCAACAGTCTGACCAATGAACAGTCGCGACAAAACTGGGAAATATACGGCAACCCAGATGGTCCAGGAGGTGAGTAAAGCTTCCTCAGATCCCACAGTATGATGAATTATTTGTACATGATGACATAGCACTTGTGACTTACGCTGATGAGTCAGCCTTTTGTACTCATGACTGTGTCAAACAATCGAATGAGGATTGAAACGTGACAGCTGACATCCAGAGCTGAGAATGAAAAAGTGTCTCTCTCTTTCTCACACACACACACACACACACACACACACACACACACACACACACACACACACACACACACACACACACACACACACACACACACACACACACACACTTGCACTGTGGGTGTTAATTATGCATTTTCACTGGGCACCAATAATAACATTGCTTTTACAGATTTTGGTGGCTGCCAAATTAAAAGGGTCTGTTGCATTTTCTGTCTCCCTTTCTAGCAACCAGTTTTGGTATTGCCCTGCCCGCCTGGATTGTTGACCAGAAGAACTCAATGCTGGTATTCTATTTATAAGAACTCAATGTTTGTTTGTCTCTAACTAACTGATAAGCCCAGCTGGATTTATTGTATTTGAATAGAAGAAGGCTAATGTTATTAGTAAGTCCAAGGCTATAATAGTATAACAGAACTGTCGTTTATAAACTCAACCTTTATGGGGCTGTACATGTTTTTCCAGGTCTGATTTAGGAATAATTTTTCATTTGCCTCTCTCAGGTGCTGTTAGTTTACGGACTAGCCTTCATGGTCATCCTTCCTGTTGTTGTGGTGAGTTGTCAAACCAAGTTCTTTGCAATAGATGTTACGATTATTTTTCGTTATTCTCTCTTATTGTTTCTTTTCCTTCGCTTTCCCTTCGTAATAGGGCACATGGTGGTACCGCTCCATCCGATACAGTGGAGACCAGATCCTCATCAACACTACCCAGCTCTTCATGCATTTCATGTACAAGACGCCGAACATGAACATGAAGCGTACGTTTTTGCATCAGTACTGTGTATATTTATCAGGGAAGTTGAACAAAAACAGATATATGAAGCTAAATTTCCCGTCACCTTTTGTGTTGAATGATTCTGCCGTCCAGGGTTAGCCATGGTGTTGACAGCAGCATTTGAGTTTGACCCTCGCAGCAATAAAGAAGCCACCATAAGGCCCACAGACAACATCGAAGTGCCACAGGTAACAGCGGACGAGGACACAAAATGCTTCAATGGAAAGGAAACTTGCATATATGAGCTAGAACCTTCCGACTTGTGCCATACATGATCTCTTCTTGTGTTTCTTTTCCAGCTGATCCGTGAGTTGGGAAACATCAATGTGAAGAAGAAGGAGCCTCCGTTCTGCTATCCTTACAGTCTGAAGGCCAGAGTCTTAGTGCTTGCTCACCTGGCACGCATGGACGTATCAGAGGAGTTAGAGGAAGGTGAGACACTTCACATTTTAAATATATGACATGCTTTTTTGAAAAGGCTAAGAAATATCGTCAAATAGTTGTAGCTACCCATTTATAAAAGCTGCTCTATAGGGGCTGATAAGAACTTTTATTTGATTTATTAGTTGGATTACCTTCTTTTCTCCATCTCTGAAGCATGTCTTAAGAAATGGATGTGTGTGTGTTTTTCTTTTCTAGATCAGAGGTTTGTGACGAGGAAGAGTCCGGCTCTTCTTCAGGAGATGATCAATGTGGGCTGTCAGCTGACCATGATGGCCAACAGCAGAGGAGGTAAACGCACACACAAACACACACATAATTGCAATTGAATGGATGAAGAGTTATCACTTTGAATCACTGACCATTCACCCATTGGTGAATAATGTGTGCACTTGCAGGTTTCCATGCTCCTCGGCTGGTTACCATAGAGAACTGCATGAAATTGACCCAAATGATCGTTCAGGGTCTGCAGGAGTCAAAGTCCCCTCTGTTGCAGCTGCCCCACTTTGAGGAGGAGCACCTTCGCTACTGCATCTCCAAGAAGGTGACTGATGAGCGTCTTTACATGAGCATGTTCTTTGACATTTAGAGAAAACAACAACGAATACATGTTTTGTTTGGTAATGCGTCAGTGGTTCATTTGTTTACTTGTTTGTTGACCTTTAGTATAAAGTTCGGAGCCTCCAGGATCTTGTCAGCCTGAAGGACTCGGACAGACGCAGCATGCTGCGTTTCCTGGGGGAGGAGAAGTACGATGAAGTCATGGCTGTGCTAGGCAGCTTCCCTCACATCAACATGGATACCAAACTGCAGGGTTAGTCCTAATATACACACAAACAAACTCACTTTGAGTCAGACAAACACTTAAATGGACATCAGACGTCGTTGCATGCAGTTAGGAAAAATATTTAAGACAACAAGATACATTTTCCTAAGATGCTGGTCACTTCATGTAAGATTATAAGAACAAGCGCAGTTCAGACTTTGCCAGATTCTGTAGCAGTGTTTTCAGACTTCCGGATATTGATAGTAAATGTTTTCATCCCCTTTGTTTTTGCAGTCCTAGATGACGAAGACAGCAATAACATCACAGCGGGCTCTATTGTCACAGTAACTGTCACGTTAACCAGGAAACGGATGGCGGTAAGAGATGATTGCATTTACACTTACACGCCAGTTACTAGAAAGCAACTTTTGTGAAAGATTGTATTTGTTTTTCTTTGAAGTGCACTTCCTAAGATGGCCACTGGAGTGTACTGTGGTCTGAAATGATTGTCAAAAACCATGAGTTAACTGATCCGTTTGATTTGTGTTAAGGAGGTGTTCGAAAAGGAGCAGGATTCGACGCCGTGCCCAGCAGAGGAGGCTACCGCTACTGAGGACGCAGTAAGGATGCGATGCACGCATGATACCTCTTCTCTTCTCTGTCCCAGAAAATTAAATGGTTAAAATGTTTGAAATGTTTTCACTTAACCTTATTTTTCATGTCTGTGTTAAGACAGGAGACTCAAAAGCCAAAACAAAAGTGTGGCAGAACAAGAGTAAAGGGGCAAAGAAGACAGCAAAGTCCAAGAAGAAAAAATTAACCAAGAAGAAGGCCACTCCTGCACCCGTTAAAGCTAAGCAGGCCAATGGCAATGTGGCAGGAAATGTAAGGGTTCAAGCACAGCCCGATTAATTTAGCTTGCGTAAACAATCGATGAATTTGCATCAACACTTTTTTTCCCCCTGTTGCTGACACAGGAAGTTGTTGCAGCAGCGACTGCAAAGGAGGAGGACGATGAGGCCTCCGACAAGGGCAGTGAGTCGGACGAGGGTGAAGCAACCAAGGACTCTCCCAGCGAGAGAGATGAAGACAGTGACAAACAAAGCGACACAGAGGTGGACGAGATAGGTGGCGACGATGAAGAGGTCAGAAAACCAAATATGAAATATGTTATGTAGTTGTTTTTTTTTTTTCCCCCCAAATGAGAGGACATGTGAAGGACACTGCTTGTAACTAACCCCATGCTCCTCTCCACACCGGCGTGTCAGGAGTGGGAGGCGTTGCAGCAGAGCATCCAGCGGCGAGAGCGAGCCCTGCTAGAGACAAAGTCAAAGGTGACGCATCCCGTCTACAGCCTTTACTTTGCAGAGGAGAAGCATGAGTGGTGGTGGCTTTACATTGCTGACCGCCGAGAGCAGACCCTCGTCTCCATGCCGTACCACGTGTGCACGCTAAAAGACACAGAAGAGGTGAGTTCATGTTTGTGCTTAGCCTTAATTTGACCATGCTGTCGATTTATTATACTATACTGTATATACTTGTATCTCTGTGAAATCTAGAGATGACCCCATATAGTCAAATCTTCGACAATTCATTTGAAAGAGCCTCAGTCGACTGCCAATCTCTCAGTCGAACATGGCGTATGACACCAGGATCATTCCATTCTGCCATATGGGGGTGCTCAATATCTAATTTTATAGTGATTTGTCTGTTTTCTCCAAGTAAATCATGACTCATAGCCTATCTTCGTATACATGTGAACTTAATAATACTTTTAATGCTATTCTGAAATGACTACTTTTATGTACTTTTAATAAATCTCATAAGCGTGTGAATGGATGGTCCAAGTTGGCCAAATGAGGTGTCCGTCAAAAGGCCAGAGTGAGGCCGGTATTTTGATCCGTCACAATCGAAATAAATTAAACCGTAAAAATATATCATTACAGAAAATTCAGTGTTGGCAAATTTGATCTGTGGATCTTTATAAATGTAATGTGTTTGTGTGAAATCTTTCACTGGATTTGGATCGTGGGCACCCTTGCTGATGCAGCAGGACCCTTTCTGTTGAATGTTATGGTTGGGGGAGAACAGTAAATCTTCAAATGTTAAGTCAAAAGACAGCAAAAATGGTTGTTTCTTTGTCGATTGTCTGCGTAGATTGTGGCTGCTGTGGTGGTTAACTCGGCACACACACTGACTTGTGTGTTTTGAGTCAGCCACTTACTCCTGCAGCAACTTCTCTCTGTCAGCTGCTAACCAGCTTATATATCTACCCAGTGGAGGTTAGCACACATCGTAGCATTCATTCATTCATTGTTTTTATCTTGATATTTGTTTGCTATTAGTGTTTAATGTCTTCATTGTTTTAATTACCCCATGTTTGGTCAGCTCCAACTGTTTACAATCTGCTATAGAAATAAAGTGGACATAGATTTGACTTTTTAGAAACTAAAGTCATTAACTGTCTCTTGTCCCCCAAAACAAACCCAAACCATTACAATACTTGAGGTACACTGAGTTTACCTTGACAAAAAGGTGAAAATCCTCATATTTGACATTTGGACCAGCTTAAGTTTGACATTTTCAGATAAGTTAAACAATTAGTTCCTTCACTCAGTTTGTATAATGGTGTCAACAGAATCATTCTAGTGTGTCTGCTATATGACACTAGTGTGAGGGTAAATTTGTGGCTTTTGCTATCATCAGTCTGGAGTAGAAAAGCCGTTATAAGTCAATGTGTGAACATTTTGTATTTCCTGTGCACCGTAACTCCTCACAAATCCTGTTGCTAGGCAACCCCTTGCACTAGGGTCATTATTTCCTCAGAGTTGTGTGTGCTACATTCATGCGTGTGTGTGTGTGTGTGTGTGTTTATATTGAACCTTTGATCCTGGAATTCTCCTGCATCAATAAGGATTGACGGTGAGCTGAAAGCCTAATGAGGCCTGTGTGAGTGCAAGACCAGCTGTCCCCGCTCTGACGGAATGTAGCGGCAAGAGGTGTCCCACCCATGCATAACGGTTCACTGTCTGGCAATCAATTAGTCTGTCACTTGGACAAATCCTTCTGTTGTTGGTGTTGTATGACTATGTGTTTGGCAGACGTGTTGTTTTTTAGGGAGGGCAGAGGGGCTGCTTTCATCAACAAGGCAGTGAAAGAAAATGCTGCTGTGTTCACGGCTCATTCTCTGCTCTCACACTGAATAATAATTAGCCTCATTGTGCTTATAATTAGATGTTTGCCATATGTAATTGCACAACATAGTTATCACAGCCTGAGGTAACGCTGGTCTAATATTTACAGTTGGACCCCATCATTGTGATTACCTACCGCGCGGTGTCCCTCTGAGGCTACTGCAGATGTGTGTCATCAGTTAATGCTGATTTTCTTTTTCAGTTTGTACTATTCAGCAGTGTTTATCCTGTGCACATTTGATGCTTCTATTATTGCTTCTGTTTTGGATGGAAAGTGAGTAAAAATCCTTTTGAACTGTAGATGACTGTCACCTTGTTTCTTCATGTGCTGCCAATTCTATTTTGACATCAGAAACAAACCAGCCACAAAAAGCTGTACTGTAACAGTGATCCTAATAAAAAGAGCAATCATGCCCTGTGAGTGCTCCTGTGATTGGATTTGACAGCTGTGTGTGTTTTTGTGTTGTTTTGTTCCAGGTGGAGTTGAAGTTTCCAGCCCCCTCCAAAACAGGAAACTACCAATATTCTGTCATCCTCCGTTCTGACTCCTACCTGGGACTGGACCAGATAAAACCACTCAAGGTGAGTAGGAAGCTTTGTGTGTGTATGTTTTCAAGATACATTCATGAAACATGTTTGAGCCTCTGGGTCTTGAAAAATTTGCCAATATGGAAGTGAAAAATCCTGGAGTTCCTCGAGTGTCGGCTTGAGGCTGGCTCCAGGAACACCGGAAGTCACAAAAAAGCATTTTTTTACAACATAAAGAAACATGTTTACATCCTGGTACAAAAAATGAAATAGGTCTGATTAGTTATTGCCATCACTGGCACACACTGTACGGGGGTGAATTTTTGTAAAATGGCTCCGTTTTGATTATATGAACGATATGTGTTATTCAGAATTATGCCATTTGCATTTCAACATGCATATCACCTGGATAGTGTCAGGACATTTTCAGGAGTAGAGTAAAAGGGGCAAAATGGTAGAACAACTGCAAGTATCCATAAAGGAAGCCGTAGCCCCAACATTTAATATCACTTGTCCACAGTCCTGCTGGATACACTAGAGGCAAATCATTGTGAAATAAGCTACTGGGTTCCAAGTTTGTCTTCAGTTAAAAAAGGTGTTCATAATGAGTGGCCTAATTTTCCATGTAGTTTCGCTCACTCATGTTGGTTGGGAAAAAAGTTTATCGAATAAAAAAAAATATATATATCTATAGGATCACCATGTGCCAAAAGATATGAATTGTGTTTCCCCAGCTGGAGGTTCATGAGGCCAAGGCCATGCTCGACAACCACCCGCAGTGGGACATCCCTGACACAGAGGAGGAGGACGAGGAGCAGGAGGACAGTGACGGAATCGAGGAGAGTGAAGAAGACGAAGAGGACAACGACTGAATGCGGACAACCACAAACACACATGCTCAGACCCCACGCTCTCCCGACTTCCATGGACTCCCCACCAACCCACCTATGACCCTACAACAGCACTCAAGAGCAGTGAACGAGGAGAGGCAAACACATTAAAATCACCAGGGACAGTTTATACACCCAGTGCACCTTCCTCCATTCTATCTTTATAACAACATGGACTGTGGCCCCGCCCTTCCACCTCCTGTTTTCTACAGGGACTTGTTCATTACACTTTCTGCTAAAGCAGAGGATAGTTCTGTGAATACTTACCCAGGCCCCTGTATGTGACTGGATGCATATGAGAGTGAGTGTGTGTGTGTGTGCTACAATATCGGTGAATGGTTTGTGTGTTTGTAACCTTGTATGTGTTTGTACAGGTATGAAATATTGACGCACTGTGGACTGGAGGACCTATGGTTTGGGCTCTTTTTTCTTTAAGTGGGGGAGAGGGGATGTAAAACAACTGATTCCGCAAAAATTAACAAAAACACAATGATCTTTGCATGGAAGTCATGACACCGCTTTCACTCCTAATTTTAAAATTCACTCGGCACCAATGTTTTCCACACCAATGATACTTTCTATTGTACACTCAAAACTGCAGAAGTGCAAGCTTTCGCCTTCATACATCCAACCATTTGCACCTCTCAGCGCACAGGAACATGGTCGAGTCTCATCATTTTTTAAACATTGTTTTGGTTTCGTACCAGCCAGTCACTTGTCCATTGTTGAACTTACTGTTTGGTAAAGGGGATGCTCTCCGGACCTGTTCTTCCCCTGTGATCCACATAAAACTGTGCTTCTCTGAATGAGACGGCTGTTTTTAGGCAGGTGGATCATTTATGAGATCAAGTACAAAGCTAAAAAACACACATCCTGCAGTGTTAGGATTAGTTTTAATAGTCAGTACTCTCCTTGTCCATTTACCACATACAAGTTGTGAGTTTTCAGTTTTTAAGGGGCCCAGATATGTATAGTAATATCCATAGTCTCACCTTTTTTTTCTTACAATTGTAGCACATTCCAGTCTAAAATCATTGTCCAAAATGGCCTTACAACACAGCTGAAACACCACAACATACAAGTCTGTGGGTGCTATGCACCAGTACTTCTTAAGAGAGCAGAACATCTTTTTTTTTTTTTGTGTGTTTGTATATTAAAATCTACAGTGTTTCTCTTTATGTTTTGGTTTGGAGTTAACCTCTTAATGATAACCTTGATGACTCAGTCTTGGAATACATATCACTGATTTCCTCGTGGAAACACCTCGAATATTTTCAGTCCTGTCTGATCAAAGAGGATTAGCAGTCGTACATGACATGACAATAAGCCTTCCTCAAAGAGTTTCGAGTGCAACACCCCCAAAAAAAACTAGCGCCCAATTCTGAAGTATGTCTTGGAACAAACATCTATTGAAAGTCATTTTTTAAGTGTAAAACTAAGCATAGTCTGGTCCATGCTTTCTCTCTGTAGCCCTTACAGCAGAACTGCCATTTTCCCATTTCAGAACAACTTTTATTTCTCTCCACCAAATCTTCAGGAGTGATTTTTTAATTTTTTTCAATATCTGAGGTATGCTAGCATTCATGGCTGTCAACTAGAACCCCGGTCATTTAATATTATGTCTCCTTTCTGTTAGTTATATCAAATGTTACACGGACATGTTTGTCTTATTTTCAAGAAAATAATCTGTTACCATTGATATCCCCATTCAAGATTGTGTTTTTCTTTTTTTTTTTATAGCATTTACGTCTCTGTTAGGTTGGTGTGGGAGAGAAAAGGGTATGAATATCTGTGGGCACGCTCACGTGACATCCCAAACACATGCTTACACAAACTCAAACACAAAATATACCCTACTGTAATTGTGCTGAGGGAAGGTGTTTGCTAACAGGTTATATTGTACTCTGAGTATTTATCGCTCTGCAATAGAATGTAGCATCAGTGATTAATGCTGTGTGGAAAAAAAAACTGCAGTGAGGTTAAATACGACACCATCTCTCCGTGACAGACCTCGTCCAGGCGACTGGCCAGCAGGCCACCTCATGTTGGACAAACTACCCAATGACTATCTGCCACTTTTGTTTACAAAGGAACTGTCATTGTAAATGGAAAATTATATTATTTGTATTTAAAATCATTTCAAATAAAAACTTTTAAATGAGATGGTGTAATTCCCCCCCTCCCCCTACATTTTAATGCAGTTGGGTCACAGACAAGCCTCTGATGGTTGTTAAGCGTCCCAGAGATGATTTGTGTAATGCTATTTTTTCTTTAAATCATTCGGTTATATCTCTGTTAGAAGCAGTTTAGTTATCAGACCTTGGAAGCCTTTGCTTTTCTGAAATGTTGTAGGGGATGTTTCCTATTTAAAAACGAATCAGGATCAGATTTATTGCCAAGCAAGTTAACAGTAATACATTTTGTTGATATGGTGAAAAATAATGAACACAGAAATAGAACAATAATAGAAGGCAAGCATATATCAGTAGGCCTACTTCTATTGTAGAGGAATTTAAATAAGATAGAGTAAATCAAAAGTATGTGCCAGATGATGGGGGAGTGCAAAAAAGAATACAATTTTATTGATTATCCCTACTGTTATTAGACGGTTTTCTCAAATAAAATCATCCTAAATTAAGTATTCTTGAACAACAGGCTACCTGAATAGCCTACTCCTTTCTGTACACGTTAATTGCCTGTGTCACGTTGTGCTAATGGTCAAAATAGAATTTCATTAATATTAGAAATAGCCTAATAAGCAATAGGACTATAACTAGCTTGATTAGCACATACAGTGAGTGGAAATTATGAAAATGATGTTGCAGTTTAAGTAACGCCCTGTGTCTGCAAAGGAGTGTTTTTGAGTTGGCAAAGGGGGTTTAATCACCTCAGTATCATCCCCCTCTCTGTCTGTCATTTTGATAGGCAGCTTCAAAGCCAGATTATCAACATTATCAACATCAACCTTTGCTTTTCCCCTCAAACTTGCCGACCTGAAGGACGTTAAAAGCTCATATCGAAACCCCGGGACAGTGCTAAACACCAGGAGGGTCAAACTGCGGATCTGCCACCTGACCAGCCCGCTGTAGTAGAGTCCGAGTGTGTGTCGTATCGCAGCCTTTACCTCACCATGCACCTGTGGGGCGCCCATTGTAAAGTTGCGCACACTACAAATAACAACAACATTTCTCCACATTTAGCCCTAAAAAACATCACTTTTTATTCACATTTAGAGAAATATTCGTGAACTTTGTCACATGTTTAGAAACGCAGCTAAATATTTAGACTCAGGACATGTATTTTTTTTTAACATTTATATATAACATTTAACATTTAGATAAAACATTCAACATTTAGATATAATATTTAACATTTATATTTGCCAATGAAATTATCTTCCATTTTTATTCACAAAAGTAAATATGACAAAGTTCACAAATATTTCTCTAAATGTGAATAAAAAGTGATTTTTTTTCTAAATGTGGAGAAATGTTGTTGTTATTTGTAGTGTGCGCAACTTTACAATGGGCGCCCCATATGCACCGACTTGGTGTGTGAGTGCATTCCCCCTGCTGAATCGACCCGAACGAGACAGGTATATTTATGCACGAAATCGAACTTAAATAATAATAAAAGATTAAAGATTAATCCTATAGAAGACATTCATTTTAAATTATTGCAGACTCTTTGTAATGTAGTTGTCTTATATCTACACCAAGGTCATTATAAAGCCACCTTTTATCTTGTAAAATAGGATGGTCTATATAGGCTATAAAGAAGCCAAATGTTGCCTCTTAATATCATGAACTTGTAGACTTGTAGGCCAAGTTTCCAATTGACAATAATAGACCCATTGTAGCCAATAGCCTATCCATTTTCAAGAAGAACTAAACTTTGTTCAAAAGTGCTTCCTTTGATAAATGCCATATTTAAATATTTAATGCACAGTCTGACCTCCGTTTCTGGCGACAATACTCACAATAGGTCTATATAGGCCTATACTGTATATACCTTCTGTCTGCATTAGGTTGAATTTGAATACTACAGTTAACTGTTGACCCTCTCAAACAGGAAAAAATGCTTTGGGCTTCAACAAACACATGTAAAGTGCAGGTGGTGTAGTGTGTAACTAGCTGGTTTTTCTGGTTTTTAACTGATAAATTATCAGAAAGAATGCAATGCCTTCTGTCATATCTGCAGGATCATCCAAGGTCTGTTATTTGGGTTTTAATACCAAGTTAGTCAATTTAAAATATGACCAGGGAAAATAACAGTTCGTACATCGTAATAGCAGGCTGCTTTCTCTTTGCATACATTGCAGATATTCAGAGATATTTAATTTTATTGTTATTATTGCAAACAAACGTTAACTATCTGTAAGTTTGCCCTAACTGTGTTAGGAATGTGCATTCATATATTTCCCTATAATTGTGATATTTCGCTCGTAGAGATTCTCATTTCTTCATACTTTCAGGGCCACATCAGAAAAGAGAAAAGATGCACACAACACTAATCAAAGTTTAGGAACTTTCATTTCAAGTATGTTAAAATAAGTTCACATTTTGACTCTCTGCTTACACACAGAACACAAACCCCAGTCTGATGAAAGTTGTGTGTTTGTTTAATCCATCGACCTCTTTATATCTCTCCAGTGATATGTATCTCTCCTTACCTTGGCGGGCTGTGAGGACATGAGACTGCGAGGAGGGTGGGATTTAAACCCTGGCTCCCACCTTATTCAGTGCCCTGCCTCTCAGCAAGGGTGTGCGCCTTTGTCTGCGTTTAGATCACCGTGACGATTGATGGTGGGGCTGTTGGCAACTGGTTGATTTGGAGGCGGAGTTGGGGCGGAGACAGAGGAATCGTGCACCTGACATCTATGATCAAAGTAAGAGGCAAAGTAAGACATTCAAGAATACCTCACTATCAGACTAATAACTAATGAAAAGAGACATGTTTTTAATCTGCTCATCTCTAGAGTGTGTCGTGTTATTAGATAGCTCAGCGGCGATAAGGAAGGGCAAGGTTTTGTGTGTGTGTGTGTGTGTGTGTGTGTGTGTGTGTGTGTTTTGTCTGTGTGTGGCATTGCAAATCTGTGTACAGATGTGTGTGTTGGGTGCATATTTAATACACTTATTGTTGTTTATGCATTTATTTATTCACACCCTATCACATGACTCTGGCACAGGATCCGATTTCACTGTCTGTTACTATGGAGACGCCCTGCCTGTAAATAAATTCAGGGGGTAGGTTGCACTGTTGCATTGATTAAAATCACACACACACACACACACACACACATTTACACATCATCTTCTTCAACACCTGGCAAGGGCATTTAAATTAAAATGCATCATTTTATGTATGCACTTTGGTGTGTGTGCTTGTGTTTCACAGTGTTTTAGTGTGTGTGTATTTGTAGGTGAAGGTGTGCAGTTTTCAGAGACATTTGCATATCTCGCTTCATTGCAGTTTCTCCTCCGCATAAGTGAAAACAGATACAAATCTCCATCCCCTGAAGCTGGTGATTAAGTTATGCTAATCATTGCTGATCATTGCAGCGTCACTGCAGCCATAGCTGTGAGCTCCAACAGCTTTTTAAAAGCCCTCCTCCAAAAGGGGACATTATCTTTAGTCGAAATACAAATTTGGGCGTTGGGGTTCGCTGATCACATAATTGCTTAATTAGCCATAAACAAATTAGGCTTTAGTCCCAAATGTATCGCGATGGGGTGCGGGGCAGTGGTTTAAATCTTCCTCCCCCGCCTCCAAAAATGGTGTTGTCTCATATCGTCAGGGGTTTTTAAGGGGCTCCTCCCTCCCTCATATCCATTTTTATCTTTTAACCAAGTAAGAGATGATTATCTACTCTCTCAGTCTGTCTGTGTCTGTAATGTGATGCAGTGTAATGGGACAGGACTGATTGAGGAGGGACATCAGGAATAATCTCACAATGTAATTACTTTTATGATTTATAGTCCCTTTCTTCCACACATACAGGCCTCCTAACATCACACACAGTGCAGATGAAATGTGTGAGCATGGGCAAGCACTAACCCTCACCCATTATTGTCCTAACCTTGCTGTTTATTGCTGTTTTCTTTTTTTCTCATGTATGGGCTTCAGGTAATGAAACAGTGCGATTTGTCTGTCCTGTCACATTCGGTGTAAAAACAGCTTGTGAGTTAGTGCTTTACAGCAGGCTCTTGACAAATCCCCTTACACGCCAGGGGCTGTTGTGCGTACAAGCGAGGCCACACCAGCATTTGATCCCCCCTGTGAGAGGTTAACCTGATTTTGATTGAGCATTTAAACCCACCAATGTGGCTTCTTTGACCAACCAGAGTGTAACTAATTGATATGTGTCGGTGAAAGGGAAAAACCTGAGCTGTACTTAAAGCAAAGGAGAGAAAAAAAGCGACCCAGAGCATGTTTTTTTCCCCCTTTTAAAACCTGCACCTCAGAAGGTAAATCAAGCACACCTTTGCTGTTGGGTGGCTTTATTCTTTCTATGTGTAGATTTTGTATTATAGATAAAACAAAGCAGCATACATGAGTTGATGTGAGGGCCCGGGGAGTCTATAAATAAAAGGAAAGCAGTAAGCTTTAGCTGCAGTATGATGTTTCATCACAAACAAAAGCTGAAGCATAATCCTGAAGGGATTCTGCTGGAGGCTTTTCATGTTTACAGAAAAATCAATCTCTCTACCTGAAAGCCATCCTGTATAAAACAAGTTCAAACATTTTAATAGTAATTCAATTACTCTTTCAATAAAAATGTGTAATTCAATTGGGGTTTTGGTTGTTGTTTTTTTTTGGCTTGGGGTTCCATTACAGAAATGTGAATTTCTTCAGAAATTATTTATAGTACAGATTACAGTTTGTAACCCCGAACGCTTGTGGCACAAAAACACTGCACAGCTTGAATCCCTTGTCGTCCGCCATAAGCCTTTTTTGAAGACAGAAAAGAAAAACCCTGCGCTGCGGCAACTGTAATTACATTACAGTCCCACACAGCCACACACACACACACACACTCTAACACACAGACATTGTTTTGAGCTCAGCACGTCTGCCGGCTGCCACGGGATGTTAGAGGCATGTTGCCATGACGACTGAAAGGGGACACAGAGGAAAGGGGTTAGGGTAGAAGGGGGAGGGGGAGGGTTGTTTCGGAGGATGGATATTGAGGAAGAGAGAGACACACACACACACACACACTCTCACACACACAGAGTTGCCGGTGTCTTGACAGTGTGTAGCGGCAGCAGAAAACAGTGGAGGCAGACTGCTGGAGATCCATCAGGGGAATAGTCAGAAACCTGCTGCTGGAGCAGAAGCATCACACAGGCAGAGATCACCAGACGGCTGTGTGCATGGTAGGCTATGCTCAGAATGACAATTTTGTGCAAATTTTGAGGCTTATTTTAGATGGGATTTGGACTAAGAGGAAGAGGATGATGCATATTCATGTGCCCTGTCTGTGTCTGTGTTCCTGTTTTTGACTTATACTTTGCCATCACAAGAGGAAGACGTTCATTTAGTTACAATGAATATGAATAAATACTCATAGGATATATATTAAAGGTAATAAGAAGCACACATGCCTGTGTAAAAGCACAGTGAATCAGCACTGAGCAACTTTACTTCGCATTGAAAGAGCATGTAAGGTAAGCGATTGTGTTGCATGAATGAAAAGATGGTGGGATTGATTGAGAGGGAGGTGTGCATTGTTAAAGTCATAGCAGAGTGAATCAATTGTACTCATGGCACTTGAAAGCACTGATGTGAGTGTGTTTATGTGATGTGTGTGTGAATGCACACGCGATTCATTGTTTGAGGATGTGGGTGTTGTTCGTATATGGTCTATGCTTTCACTTCCTGTGCCTGTGTGTGTGTATGTATGTATGTGTGTGTGTGTGTGTGTGTGTGTGTGTGTGTGTGTGTGTGTGTGTGGCTTTGTCTATCTCTCTGTGCTGTTATGATATTTATTGCAATCTTTGCAGTTGGAGTGGGGGAGGGGTTAAAGAGGAGTTCAGGGTATGAATATACTGTTTTTGATAGTCTTTTTGTGTGTGTGCGTGCGTGTGCGTGTGTGTGCGTGTGTGCGTGTGTGCGTGTGTGTGCGTGTGTGTGTGTGTGTGTGTGTGTGTGTGTGTGTGGAGGAGCAGTGTATCTGACATGTACATTCTAAGTTTCCGCTTCAGTTTGTGGCCATGGTACGTGCAGTTTTCAAGCCACCATTACCTGTTTCAATCTAATATCCAGGCCTCTCTGTGTCTCTCAGGTCTCATGAGTACCTTGTCTGATACATCAGAGATGCAGACTCCCACTCTCGGCCCACAGTTCATAGTGGGGCCTCAGGGTAAGGTGCCAGGCAGAAAGAGAGGGCGGCCTCCTATCCGTAAGCTTGAGTTCCAGAGTCACTACGTTGAGCCGCTGCTGTCCCCTCTGAAAGTCCCGAAGAAGAGGGGCAGAAAACCTGGCTTTAAGGTCAGCCCCAAAATATTTTTATTATTTGTTAGCATCATTGTAAGAGCTCATGTTTAGTGTGTTTCCTAATATTAAAGCCACCTGGTAAAGTCCTGTAAGCAAATGTTGTAGGAGCCAAAATGTGTATTTTTTTTTTTACCTCTGTTGATTATTTGTTTTGCTCCTCATATGAGTTTGATATAATTTACTGCAATTTACAGTGGGTGTTGTTTGACCTTATTTCACCTGTTTAGTTGTGTTAGACCCTAAAGAGGGTTTGAATATTTTCTTTTGATCCTCAGCTTAATCATCATTGTCACAGTAATTAACTTCATCTTCTGGACTTTTGTTTAGAATTATTTTTTAACTCTTTTGAAAAAATAAATCCACAAACTTATCAGGAATTTTATCTTGATACGAACGAGTCACAGGTGCAGGGCTCACTTAGTCTCTGTGCGGTATTCTCAAAGCTTGGCCACCATAGTTGTGTTAATGCCAGATTACTTTCCAAAATGTACCTCAACAAAAGTGTCAAAAGCATTTCTTTGGTCAAAAGTTTTCAAACACAACTTACAAATGTTTTAAAGCCTCCTTTTTCTTTAACATCCACAATGACGTAGCTCTACTTCTAAAACTTTTGCTGCTGCATTGCTATTGATCACTTTTTTCGTTGTACTTGATTGAATTCTTGAATTCTTGGAATTCTGTCGGTAATGATATTTGCATCAATAACACTACTGCTAATGACATTGATATTGTTGGTTAGGTGATAATATATATGTAGAGGATCTACTATTAATGATAAAAGGTCTACAGTTTCACCCTTCTGACAATCCTGTTGATGACAGGATATATCTAAATGCAATCATCAACATTATGTCCGCTTTATCTTTGTCTGTTGTATTTGCTCCCACAGCAGCCAGTGGCCAAACAATATATCTTTTTCCTGCAATAGTATCTAACTGTTTTCTTCTGAGGTGTAACACAAGCTATTAGTTTTTAACCACATAAACCCAATTGTTATGTATGTTTATATGTGTGTTGTTCTTGTGTTTGTGTGTAGCTGAAGCCCAGGATGGTGATGTCCCCGCTGGCTAACTCTCCTCCAAACAGCACACCAGAGACTGAGATGTGCTCTCTCCCACAGGATGCTGCTATCGTCCCTCACTCTGCCACTCCACAAGTCCTGACAGGTGACCCCCACCACACACACACACACACACACACAGTCTTCTTAAGTTTTACAAGCACCTTCATCGAGTATTTGTTTATGAAGCATAGAATTGATATATATATATACATATATTCTATATATGTAATAACAAGCATGTGTTGAAAGAGATGTAAGCAGTCATGTCAGGTCTGAGAGTCTGAGTGTAGAGGTCTGGAGAATTTCAGTATGAGAGAGATGGTCCTAATATTATAATTTTTACAATTATTATACACTCAGCTTGACTTGCTGGTGTGACTTAAGGGGTTTTAAATGTGGTCTCCCTTTCTTTTTTTTATACACTCAGCTTGACTTGCTGGTGTGACTTAAGGGGTTTTAAATGTGGTCTCCCTTTCTTTTTTTTTGTTTTCTATCTTATCTCTCAATCCCTTTTATATCATGCTCTGACTAGGACTTGCATTCTTTTGTGTTTGTGTGCTGTCTTCCTTCTTTGTTCCTCTAAAAACACAAAAAAAACTTGTTCTCTGTGATGACTAATGCACTGAGTTGTAAAACACTAAACTCGTCTGCATGTAGAATCAAAAACAGCCCGAGCAGCTTGGATCTTCAGTGTATGTTTAAAAATGTTAAAATGAGAAATACACATCTTCAAATATAACCCAGACACGTGTCATTATTTATTCTGTTTCATTCTACTCATCGAGCTTTGCTTTCTCGCTTCGGCTCTGGAGAAAATCAGACATTTTAAAAGAAAAGAAAGCACATTTCATATAGCCATCCTTGTAGTCTTGCTTTCAGTATTTTTCTGTCTTATTTCCCTCGAGGTTGGTCCTGCTCTAAATGAGCAAATATTTAAAGACAATCTTTTGTGTATTTGAGATGGGAATGGGAATCTCATGTGTCAAGGACCAGCAAAAAGGGTCTTTGTTCTTGCATATCATGAAAAGTGTTTGATTTCAGATTGAAAACGTTCAGAAGCACAGTGTATACACACACACACACACGCACACACACACACACACACACACACACACACACACACACACACACACACACACACACACACACACACACACACACACACACACACTCACATAACTTCGAACCAGTGTGCCCCCTGTGGTGCTATACACATTATGTAAATAATGTCTTTGAAAAATGGGAAAGAATTTCAAAAATAGTCTGTGTTATTGTTTTAGATACTGTTAGAGCAATGTACATTCCCTTTAAAGTACAGTTTTTTTTCACATCATATACAGTATACTCACACACCATTTTTTTTTTATAGAGATAGTGTTTATATTTATTACTGACAAAACAGCTTTCTGTAAAATATAAATATGTTAAGCATTTTATTTTATTTGTAAAAGGACCATGTACAATATTAAACCTAAATGTTGGCATTTGGTACATTGTTGAGTTAGCTTAAAGCTAATTTACATCTGCAGACCTTCAGCAGGTCATACCATAATTTGAAGGCAGATCCGTCCTGTCTGTATCCATGCCACTCTATAGGCCTCAAAAGTCTGATGTGAATTTTTCAGAATACAATAGAAAACGGTTTCATCTTTATGTGAGCATAAAGCACAGATTAGTCAAACTCAAGCTAAGAAGTGTTTTGCATAAAAGGAAGCAGATTTGGAGGAATTATAGTCTACCTTTCTGCTGTTTAATATCCAAACAGTGAAAAGCTAAAGGAGCTTTTACCTGTGCATACATTTAACTCACTATTAAGAAGTAATGTCAATTGTGAAGGCTGCAGAAGTCAGCAGACGCAACGGATGCTGGTTTAAAGGCAGAGTAACATCTAAAACAGTAAATCTGGCTCTTGAAGCTTTAATGAATCACAGAGGCACTTTGAGCTAAATGCTAACATCTTGTCAAAAGTATAATGCTATTGCTAACATGATGATGCTAAGGCTGTAGAGCCTAATGCCTGAAGCCATGTTAACTGTCTTTGTTAGCATGGTTGCTAATAAGAAAGTCATTGCCACCAACAAAGACAGTCCAGCATTAATACATTGAAATTATCCAATGTTTTTTTTACGCTGTAATTCTTGAGCTTCATTCGAGGTTTTGTAAAAGCACAGAAGTGCTTTCAGCTAAATGCTAACACCTTAGTCAACTTAGTCAAAAGTATGATCCTTACATTATTATGTTAAGCATGTATGGCCTATAGCCTAACATGTATTGCTCCATCTTTATTTAGTACTTAAGCATGTTTTAAAATTAGAACTAAAGATAGTGGAGCTGAGGCTAATGGGGAAGTAATCTTTTAAATATAGTATATAAATATATTATATTCACAAACCAGAACCAACTTGTAAATATTTTGTGAATTTTCAGAATAAGAAAAACATTTCCCTGTTGCATCCTTAATTACAGCATTTTCTAAATGAGCTTGGCTTGAGTGACATCACTTCCTGTTGTTCCCTCTCCAGCAGAGACTCCAATGCCTGATGACTACTTATGTGACCCACCAGTGGACTCGAAGCGCTACGCTGTGGATCCCAGTGACTCTGCCTTTAACCTCATGGCATCCCAGTACCCACAAAAACACTCTTATGCTTATCGTGGCAGCAGTTGTTCTGCCCCAATAGGTGTGTGTAGACAAGCATCCAGCCCTGGAAGCTTCACGGATGGGAACAGGAATGGTGAGAATTAGATGTCCAAACATTGCTATTAGAATATATATATATATTTATTTATTTATTTATTTATGTTAAGACCAATCTAATTAATTGATTAATTAATTTGGATCCCCATTAACCACTAACTAAGTAGCAACTACTTACTGGTGAGGAAATGTGTTGATATTTGTGATAAACAGATTACACATAATTTAGTAATGTTTTTATTTAGAAGTAGTTCAAACATTTTTCTTCTTGTTGTTGAGCTAGCTGTTAGGCTATATATCTTCCCATATCCTGTCTGTATGCTGATATATAAGCCCACTATTTCCTTGCTGCAGCTTCATATTTAAGGACAGGAAACAAGTATGAGAAAAAATGATCCTCAGAAGGAAAACAAATGAATACATTCTTCAAAATGTTGTACTGTTCATTTAAGTTTAGCATATCTGTCATGAAATGAACGTTATGCCAGGTAAAACTTGTAGACCGTCCCGTTTTGTTTATTTGTTTGTTGGCTTGTTTTTAATCCCATTCAGTTCAGTATTTTACCATCTCCTCTCCCATTGTCAGCTTACAGTCCAATGCCTGACAGTGGACAGTGCAAGCATGCTGCTGGTAAGGACCCGTCCAGGTGGGGTGTCGAGGAGGTTGTTTGGTTCATCAAAGATGCTGACCCCCAAGCCCTGGGACCCCATGCTGAGGCTTTCAGGAAGCATGTGAGTCCAGACTGCCATGCTTTTGAGTCCATGGCCACTGACAGCTACTGTAATACAGAACGTAGTGGAATTTAACTTTTATTCGTTATACATTGGTGCGACTGTGACTCAGTGGTGGAGTCAATTGGGGATTCGATCCCAAAAACCTGCAGTCGACTTGTTCGATGTCTCTTTGGGCAAGACACTTAACCCTAAATTGCTCCTGCTGCTTCGTATGCGATGTATGAATGTGTATAAATTGGATTAGTTAATACTGATGGATACTTTATGTGAGAGCCTCTGCCATCAGTGTGTGATGGCTATGGGTGTGAATCGGTAGGTATGGAGTAAAAGCACTTTGAGTCGTCAGAAGACTATAAAAGAGCTATAAAAGCTCAAGTTAATTTACCAATAACCACTAAGCCAGAGGTAGGATAGGATACAATGAATTGTTTTATAATAAAACGTGTTGCTTTTCCACTATTTTAGCTTTACTTGTGTTCTTGTTTTGTCTGTTTTCAGTTTTCATTTTTGTAATGTATTGTTCTATAATGTTTGTACTCACACATTTGATCATTATTATAGTATGATGGATGATTTAGTTAGAATTAAACTAATAACTGAATTTTCTTAATCTATACATTCATTACTTGTATTAATAAGTGTAAAATCTGTTAAATTGTGAATTTACTCCCATGGTTCTGTGCTGTGTTTCAGGAGATAGACGGTGACGCTCTGCTCTTGCTGAAAAGTGAGATGATGATGAAATATCTTGGACTGAAGCTGGGACCTGCTCTTAAACTGTGTTACCACATCGACAGGCTCAAACAGAATCGGTTGTGATTTTCTGATCACCTTCCTCTACAAACTGCCCCAATGCAGATTCTACCAAACTTTCTCAACAATCAGCAATACTTCATGAATGCCTGTGGATCCTGAATACACACTCACCAGCTTTTACTGCATCTGCAGTGCATTTTTTTGTCAATTTGGACATGTGGACTGTACATCCATCTGCCATGCTTCACTGGGTATCTGACAGGCTTTAGTTGTAAATAGTAGTATTTTGTCACTTGACCTTTGTTTATTTCATCTCTGCAGTCTGCACACAGCTTAGTGAATCTTACAAACATGAATTTGTGCAGATCTAAATCATGCACAGCCTATAGAGACCTCTGAAGATCTATAGGGGGCAGAAACTTACAGGTGCTTTTACTCAATATCATATTTAAGATATGGGTTAATACATAATGCTGCTCTTGTTCTTAAATGATTGTTTTCTGAGTAAGTTTTCTGATGATTATGTTGACACATACATAACTCCTAGACACAAACTCTACAATAATTATTGGAATCTTCTAACTTTGAGCTGAAGCTAATGTGAATGCATCTTGAGTAAATCCAAATTGGGAGGGGAAAAAACTATTTCATTAAGTGGGAACTCCATAATGAGGAGTATTTTTCTTTTGATCCATTCTATTTTGTATAAAGTCCTTATGTCAGTATGATAAACTCTGGAGGAAACGACAAGTGTTTATCCCACTCACAAACAGTGGAACAAAGGTATTTTCTAATGGGAAAACATTTACAGTGAACCACTGCAAAACAACATTTAAGCCATATGGTGCTACACAAATCTGAGGTGCATGCAGTCAAAAAGACAGGAAGGACAGGAGACACAGACAGGTACCAGGGTTTTTCACTGTGTTCTCATTCTTTGTACATCATGTAAAAATAATTAAGTAGCAGGCCACTTTACATGGTACAGAGTGAGACGCTTGTTTGACTTGGGGTTGCAAAGCAGTGTGAGAAAAAGCAGCAGGTCGCCAACTCAAACAACTTGGTGCTTTTTGAAACCATTACTGCTAGTACATTTACATTTTACATTCTTCACATGCAATATCTCTCTACAGTCATTTCAAATACAAATGCCCGAGATGTGTTATGTCTGCATAATGATATATTGTGGTATTTCATTTTCAGACAGTAGAAATTGACAAACTATTAAGTAAATTATCTTGGGCATTAATAATGTTTTTTTTTTTTGCAACTACTCAATACAAGTATGTCATAAAAAATAACAACCTGTGAACTCATTGATGATCGATCACATGCAATGCTTTAAAAAAAAAACTTGTAAAGTACTTATTTATTGCTTTGTTCTATTTGTTTTGCTAACATTTTGCATAAGTAAGTGTGCCACAGACTTATGCAAGTAAAGCTTGTATGTGTATGTATGAAGTCTGTAAAGTAAAAAACTGTCTTTTTGCCCCAATGAGCTTCGAGCCACAGCAAAATGTAACATTACTGTCCAATTTAGCTTTTTCAATCTGCTTACTTTGTGATTTAAACTTGAATTGAAGTGAAGCAATTGTGTTGCACACGAGCCATTTCTCTAAACTCAAATTTTTTATTACCAGTTTGAGCCATATTTAATTAATGTTGACTCCCTATTGCCATTGTATTTCTTTTTTATATTATTTTCAAAACGACTTTTCCAGATGAAATAAAACTTATTGTTCAAAAAGTCCCCCCCCCCCTTTTTTAAAAATGTTTTATTAGATATTTAGTAGTGCTAAAACACATTTATTTATTTCAACACCAGGCAAAATGTATTAACGTGTTATATGAACCATAGGTGTGTTATGAACTCAAAAGGGGTTACAGGACTTTATTTTGAAGGGCGAGATTGCCTCTGCTGTAGTATCGCGCGAGTAGAAGGGATTCACTTCCCGTATGAACATTCCATCAGAGATATTCATGCGGCTTACACAAATGTGTGCATCTGTCTGACAGAGGTGAACATGGCTGAGGTTTCGGAGAGGACATTGCAGGTCGCCGTCGTGGTTTCTTTTGCTGCCGGCTTTGTGGCAGGGTGGCAGGCGAACAGAATGAGGAGGAAGTTTCTGGACTGGAGGAAGAAACGCCTGCAGGACAAACTGTCAGAAACTCAGAAGAAGCTAGATCTGGCGTGAATGGTAATTGGGTCACTACACACGTCTTAAATATTCGGACACTCCTTTGTTTCAATGTTGGTTTGGTCTTAAGATCACGTTTATAATTGCACTATTTAAAAAGCTCTATTTGACACGTGTTTAATTCTTTATTTTCCAGGTTTGTGGGTGTCTGTCTGGTCTGCTTTGTAAAGCTGCAGGAACCTGGATCCTGGGCACGTCACTGAACAGTGAAGAGACTCAAAGCTGCCCCACCTGACTAATGAACTACCCACATGATACCACCACACCCTTTTAAAAAAAGATTTTCAATGGGATCTTTGGTCATACCTCTTGTCCTCGGAATTTTGAGAACCAGCTTCAATGTTGTCTTGAATTGTGCTGTACCAGATGTTAGCATATCTACGTTTCTATCTGTGCTGTGTCTGAACAAATAAATTATTTAGTTTTCATCTTTACCTTATTGTGAAGTTTCAGTGTGTTTGGAAAGCCAGTCTCACCCAAAGAGGATATAGCTTTCATGGAGTGAGGTTATGTGGCTCTTGTCATGTGCATTTCTCTCTACATACTGCTTCAATATTTATTAGTCACACACAAGTTAGGTGTCTCAACAGTGATGTTGAATTTGACAAAGCAGTTTTAAACAAATAACCAAAGTGCCCCATGAACTTGTGTTTCTGCCCAGTTCATTGTGAAAACATGTTGCGAATAGTCCTTACTCTAGGTGAAAGTAACGATTATAATTATATCAGTTTTATTTTGAAAGTCTCATTCTTTGAGTTCTTGTTCTAACTTTTGCTCTTACTTGTGGCTCCATCTGCTGGATGATATTGAGAATCACACCTTAGTCATGCTATTTGCAAAGCAAAGTGAATGTTTAATCGAATATGAAAGAGGATTTATAGTATTTTTATGAAGAAAATATTTAACTACACCATTACCAGGCATGTGTACTGAAGGGAAATATTCAAAAAAGAACGGAACATTTCATTTTAGGTGTTAATCATGTGACTCTGATGAATCATCTTCCCCAAAAAATTGCTAGTCTGAGAAAAATGATCTTAATGGAGGTTTTTAAGTCCAGCTTTTATTTGCCATGTTTTCATGTTTTGATGAAGACTGCTTTTGATTATGTGGTCAAAATTCTGTTTACAATAACAAGTATTAACCTTTAGGCTCAATAATAGAACGTTTTTTTTTTAACTTGTATGGTTTGGTTGTTTTGTTTGACATGTTCATAGATAATGTGATGAGTAATAGCTCATTTGGGTCTACACATTAGTCCATAGGTGGTGCTATTGCACTTCAAGACTTTATGCAAACAACTCAAGTTTTTGCCTACAGCGTCCTAGTCGGCTCTGAAATTAGATCTTGAGAGCAGATCTGTCTTTTTCATCTTTGCCAGTCTAGCCTATTACCACCTCTCAACAAGCTTTTGACAAGGCCTGAAGAAGCCCCTTTCCCTGCAGCACTCCTTCAGCGGCTTGATGAGAAATAAGGTGGAAAGAGGGTTCAAGAGGTATCAGGGGACTTTATGATGCCAGACAAATACAAAACGTCTTTTCAGAGCTGTAGCTCTCTCAGGTAAGTAAAATTCCCCTGTCTAAATATTAGATACAGAAGTGAAGACACTCTTTTACTGGTGTGCAAGTGATAAAAAGATTGAGTACATTTAAATAGGTTTTACAGTCGGCTACCTAAATTGAAAGGAGACAATTAAAAAAATGAGTAGGCTATAACTCTTAGTGTTGATGTTTAATCAGGTTATGTATGAAATCTAATTCAGGTACTTAACGTAAAGTGTACACTATGAGGGCAGTTGGCATGAATATGTATCCAGTTCAACAGAAGATATTACATATAATTTCTCGATAACAGTTTGGGTGTCTGCTCCCTGTGTGCAAACTCCCTTTCTGACTTTTTTTCTGGGCCTGAATTAACAATGTGTCGGTTGCGAAGGTACCCGGCTCTACGTATCGGCTCTTTTAAGTGATTTATGGGATCCGACTCTCCTTTTAATTCCCCTTTGTTATGTATTAGGACAGACAGACTAAAGGGTTGATCCTTTCTCCACATTGCTCAACTATAGGCCCACCTAGTGCTCGGTGGTATAAAATAATCTTTTATACCACACATAATGTAAGATGATCGTGGGAATTATAGCCTGCAGTTCAGTAGCCTACAATTACGATGAATAATTCAGTAAAATACATGCACACATATCAAAATATTAACTTGTCACACACGATTTTCAGGGGCTTCTGATTCTGCAATTGCATGCAATTTTCGGCGTGGATGCATTTCTCGACAAAACACCTGTTGAATTCCCATCAGGGGCAACCTAATTGGTGAAAGTAGGGTGTGACGTCATTGCCAGTTTGCGCGTAATGTCCAATGATTTGTGTTTGCAGAAAGTGGCGCTTAAAACGTAAAAATTAAAGCGATAAAATGATACTGCGCGGGCATTGTTATTGGGACCATTGGTATAATTCCTTTGACCAACTGGTGTTTCAAAGATGTAAGGCCAAGAATCTTCCAGCAGCTCTGGTGACAACAAGGAAAACTTCCTTCTGCACCCACAGGTTAGCTAGCAGGCGTTCAGGGGGATAGCTCATAGCTCCCCAATGAACAAAATAAGCAGCAGCAGTCAGAACAGGCGAACAGTTCGAGACAGCGTTGTTATGAACTTGGGCTAAGCAAGCAAGTTAGCAATATCTAGTGCAGGGGTAACAAACTTTACCTATAACTCCCCATTTAAGCCGCCTGGCATTTGTTAACAGTGTAATAAACAACGCCTACACTAGGTGACACTACTGGAGTCCAAGAGCAGCCAAGTGGGGAAATTAACAACGAAGCAGGTCTTGGACTTGGGATAGCAATGACCTATCCATAACCAGAATGGGGAGGCTGACCTTTCAGGATAAACAAAACAGATTCTATTGGAAAGTGACATTCTTGGAACCCTTTACCAAGAAAGCCAGGAGGAAGACGTCTTAAAGGTAGGAGTGCAGTTGTGTATTACCACCATCATCGTCATTATCATCATCATAGACTATCTATAAAAGCACAAATCAAGAGAGCTTAATATCACTTATGTCACACTAGTCACTATAGAGTAATCTAGTTACATTATACTTGGATTTCATGTTCTTAAACATTTTCAGTTTCATTGACTTGCTGTTTAAGTTCACTTGAATAGCATAGCCTAGTTTTAAGAAAGAAAATGAGAGATGACAGAGAGCTTAGCAGGAATTAAAAAGTGCGAAGGAAAGTGTTGACAAATGGAGGGGAAAATGAGTGTCATGGGAGGAGAAGTGTGTAGCTGTTTGTGTTTCGGCTGGGAATCTGGAGCGGGTGTTATTGTCGCTCAATGTCTAATACCGTGGCTAAATTGTGATGAATAGCTTGCTCGATTGTGGTGTGTGACTGTTTGTTTTGTAACAAGCTGTGTGTGATTGTGTGCTACAGCAGTGCTGCTGCGTGTAGCTGAGAGGTATTTTGGATAGACAAAAGAGGGATGGTGACAAGAGGAGATAACGTACAAGAAAAGCAAAAACACATGGGAGGGAGACAGAGAACGAGAGGGAGAGTTTGACTGCCATGACTGATCAGATTTTCCTAATTGGCACGTAGACCTCAGAGCCCATGTCCTTCGCCTATATTGAGTGTGCTCAGAGAGTGTCATGTTTAATAAGTTTCCTGACTGGCTTTCTGCTTGTGTGACTGTGCCCTCTGTCTATAGGGTGACTGCAAAGCAGGGAGGGAGGAAGGAGGGAGGAGAGAAGAAGAGCCAAAAAGGGAAAAGAGGACTAGATCGACAGTGTCAAATATAGGCAAAGCAGAGGAATAATAAAAGACCTCTGCTAGTTATGCTGCATTTAGAAAAAAAAGACAAAGTGCCTTCAGCTATGCTAGCGGCTCAGTGAGACTACTTGCATAGCAGCGTTATAAGCTTATTGCTAACATAACCACGCTAACATGCTTACAGTGGCAATGCTGATGCTGAGCAAATGAAATGTTTACAGTGGTCATTTTATATTCGCTGTAAGCATGCTAAGATTTGCGAATAAGCACTGCACACAAAGTGCATATCAGGCTGGTAGCTGGACATCTTAACACTTGTATTGCTGATATTTGACATAAACCAACTTTTTTGAGAAAACTAAAAATCTGACCCGTTATTAACCGTATTAACATGGCAGTCACACTCTTGGTGGAAAGCTCTAATACTGTAATAATGTTGCACCATTGTGTTCCATTTTGTAGGTCCTCTACTTACATGAAATCTGAGAATCATTCTCATTTCACTGTTTCACAATTAATCAGCAGTCAGCACCTAAAAACACATAAAAATCCATAGGGACACTGTTCCAAAATAAAAGACATTTGATTCCCTATTAGAAGTTGAAAACAACTAATAGAAGCATTCTATCACTTCTCAGTTTAAGGTATAATATGTAAAATTTTATTAGAATGTTTACATTAAAATAACTACATTCACTAACTTTCATGTATATTTTTTTGTCTTAATTCCTTACTTAATTATATAATTGTAACGGGACGTGTCATGTCATGATGGCCGCCATCATAGACACATGTTTTTCGTAGAACTCAACAGGTTCTTCCTGAAGTCCTTTACATTGTTGTTTAAGTTAAAGTAATGTATTAAATTATTTTAAAAGTACAATAAACGTCACTTTTTAGGACCGCTCGCATTTTTTAGCTGACGGTATTATATTGCGATAATAGTATGAACGCATATTCACTTCAACCCCCCTTTCCCCCCTCAAACAAGCCTGCAATGCAATACTGAATAACTTCTTTGCATGATCCCAGAGAATGATGTCTTTATAAGTAACTGTGTGTTCAGTTCTAGGAATGTTGTAGCTTCTAACTGAATCTGTGTAGTTTTAAGTTTCCTATCTCCTACTGATGTGTCTTAAGCTGCTGCTCAAAACACCACATTTCCTGATATGGCTCTTCATAATAAAAGCGTTCATCAACATGATTAGAGGGGACTTTTATTGTGAAGGATTTGTTGGTAGTGAAATGTGTATATCATTCAATTAAGGGAGCTTCAACAGAGTTACAAATAACAGATTTTCAATACCACCGTAGGGAGTTACAATGTTAACAGCCGTTACCTTGACCACGTGTCAGAGCCACAGCCTGCTGTCTTTAATCATTTTGGACTTATGACAAGCAAGTTGTCAGTTGAAGCACATGTTTAGCAGGGAGACTCGTAATGGAGTTACAAATCTGTGCTGCGCTGGTGCAGTGACACCGAGACGAGCCATTACAGCACATAGTCCATGTTAAAGCCTCAATCACGCTGCAAGCGAGCAAACCCACTTAATGTTGCCATTATTTGCTGAAACTTGGAGAGGAGAGATTACAATTTTACCCGATTGCAGTGCCATAATTCACTTTCATTGTAAATGATGACACCTGCTCTGAC